TGCACGGTCTCCTCGCTTAATCTGGGATGACTGCGAGCTCTCAGAAACTTCGTCAGCATTTCGTTTGCTCTGCTTTCTGCAACTGCACAATTTGACTGTTTCGTAGTGCTCTGGTTATTTTAGTAATTGTGCAGGTTAACTGTTGAGGGTTTTTTGACTCTTCGTTTACAAAACTTTCCCCTGAGACTTGTTTTTGACGAAAGGTTTAAACGTCCCATCAATTTTATGCACTATCCACATGTTTTCTTGCTCTTACAACTCAAAAATTGCATTTATGAAGATGCAAATTAGGGTATTGTCAAAATAGCTTTGTTTTAAAGTAAGTATTCGGGCTGCTTTTTGGTTAACGCTGTTGGTGTTCGTGTTTTCTGTGGCCTATTTAGTCCACATCAAGAGGAAGCTATTTGTAAATATTTCAATCGAAATGCCGAAACGTACACAAATAACGCGTTTTGAACTTTTTCCAGCATCTCCAATACATTTGAAATCGGATGGGTTAATGACAGGGCCTAATACGGTGCTCAGCTTAATCAAAATTAACTCGCTTAAGAAACGAATGTATCATAGGGGAAAAACTATTGCACTTCCAAAAGGGACTCCTGTAATTTTATTGAACTTATTTTCCCTCACAATAGCAGTGGAGTTTCTCACGGGTTTCGTTTGAGTTCCTTTGACCATGTCGAGTTAGCAGCTAGTAAGATTCTCCGTATCTATCAAATTAATTATTCATTGAAAGTTCCAGGTAAAGTCAAGACAACTTAGCGAAATATCGGAAGCTATCACTGTGATCTATTCGGTCAGGGTCGTTGAATGAGCCGTCTTTAGCGCTTCCAGATGTTATACCTACTGTGATCCCATTTAGCTGACTTCCTTTCCAAAGAGTAATCGAGTGTCTCTCTAATCCCCAGTTCTCTGTTATTTGAGACATTTACTAGTCAGTCGATTGCGGCAATGCCGATGCCTAATCATGGCCATCAAAAATCGCTATTTATCCCAGTGTCTGAGTTACTCCAATCCGATTAGCATGGGGAGCGATTTCGTCATAGTGCTACGGGAAGACCAGAAACCGGAAATTTGGGCGGTAGCACTAGAGCCATAGCGTCAGTCCGTTTGCAGCATCCTGCCATAATCTTATATGTGCTGCTAGGTAAAATATGTCCTTTTCCAATGGACGTATCATGAGCCCTGTTGCGATTCTTCAATCTATACCTGCAGTGATGTAAAGATTAAACGTAAATCTCTTTCGGTTGAATGCATCAAACGGGGCCGTAGTTTGGTGCATTGCTTATTATGCTCACCCATTTACGTCCGAATTTCAAACTAATTTTTTAATTTGGTGACATCTAAGGGACGTCTATTCCGAGATCCCAATGTATACAAATAAGTCACGTCTTACAAACCCAGGAATGCCATTGTTAAAATCGTGCAAAAACATTGTGACTATGCGAACTTAAATCAGTTTTACTGTTCCGATTGCCGTCTTCTTCCTAGTGTTCTGACATCCTTACATCTACAAATTTGCCACATCTTCCAAAACGTCCCAAGGTTCTCACTATCACCAGTTCTTATCACCTCTTCTTGCTGTTACAGAGTCTTTTGCGGCAACGTGAAGGCGAGGTTGGTCAGTTGCGACGTGAAGTTGCACGTCTTAATGAAACGCACGAGCGTCTCCTTGCAGCACTCTCTGAGCAGACAGCAAAAACAAATCAACGCGTACCCCTAAACGACTCTTTGCCGGCCGACGAAGGCGACGAGGGCAGTCTCTCGCAGCGTTACGAGGTCCTTCTCCAACTCTATGGCCGGAAGTTGGAGGAGAACGAAGAGCTCCGTATGGACCTTCGTGAAGCTAAGGAAGCTTATCAGGCTCAAGTACACCGTTATCTTTTTTTTTGCTCTATGGCGGTGTACTTTAATCACCAGGTTGTGCTCAGACAGGTCACTTTAAAACTACTAAGCGGATATCTGAAGTTCCGTGTACTTTGTTGCATCGTTTACACGCTCCTGTTTGTCCCTTTTAGTTGAATGATCTCTTGAACAAACTAAACGACGGTCGATGACACCGAACTTTCACTTCATTTTTTCTCCCATATCACAAGTCTCCTCGTCTTTCTGAAGTTAGCTGCCTTCACACAGCATTCCACTTCACTCTTGCTCATTGTTATTGTCGACTGTACATATTTCCGCCCATTTTTCTTTGCCCTACCTCCACTTTGGCTAGTTTACATTGATAAAGATGGCTCTTAAGCTTGATTTCTCAATAGGCATGATTCCCTTGACTGTGTGCTTACTTAAGGCAAAACGGGCGAGGGGTTATTTGTGGGGAATAGGGGGAGAACTTGATAGCTAAGCGATCTCTTGCTAGCCCATGTGGGTTAGATGCGTCACAAGGCCGGGACGAGAAATTTGCTTAATGGTAGTCATTTGTATCAAACCACATCCTCGGAACTGGTGTACAGGCTTTTAATCTGTAACTGAAACATTTCTACTGCATCCAGAGCTGACTTTCACTTTGGTAATCGAGGCTGGTATTCCAGTTACTCGTTACATTTATACCGCAGCCGGTAGTAGAAATTTCCTCTTCCATCAAATTTTGCGCATTCAAGCAAGTTGGCACACGATCTTGCAAAAGAGGTCTCCTGAGTGCTGTAATTTATGATGGTTTTCTCCTCCTGCTTGGAATTTCGCCACACCTTTTAAAGAAACGCAACTCTTGAGTGTTTGTTTTGATTAAATACACCTATTTTTTGTCTTCAACAGGTTACAACTTATCAAAACGCGAAATAAGTCGTTGAAAAGATTACATAAATCAAATCACATGCCGTGATTTAGCATCCTATCAGCGTACACGGCAAATTTCTATGTTTACAGCTCTTTGGGTATTTCGGTGTCTTCGTTCTCAAGTGACCTGGTCCATCATAGCACATTATTGAGCCTAGTTCCATGGCGTTTGGATCGACCCTCCACATATGCGTCATCCATTAGGCGTACCAATAGAACATACCTGGAACCCAGTATCAAGGCGGTTGCTTCGGTCATTGTACGCGCGCAATTGAAGGCCTCAACAACTTAAACGTCTTTAGTATAACTTCGATGTCAAAGTACTCCAAATTACTTTCATATACTATAAGGCTTGTTCATAAGCACATTAGGCTAAGTAGTCCTGTCTTGGTAACACTGTGTGGAAATCACCTCGCATGCTTAAAACGCTAAACTGGATCACTTTCTTTTCAACTTTGCACTTTTGCAGGTGTGTGTGCGTGTTTTCTCGCTCACTGGTCGGTATCCAGATTGAGTTGCGATTTTGGCGTTCACTTCCGACCCAGATTACACCCGCTCGGGTTGGAACTTGGACCCCAAGTTTGCAGTATTAAAAACAGTTAGGCATCAAGAACCCTAAAGGCTCCGATTTTGGTCACTTATAACAGCAGGCGGTGTTTAATCGACTGTAAGGAATATCCCTTTGGTCACCCCTAAACGCATTAATAAAGAGTGCTGTGATGCCGGAGTCGTCCCTGAAGTTATGTATTTGTGAAGACATTTAACATCGCTTCAGATGTGCTCCATGCTGTTCAAACGGTGTCAACTGTAATTCTCTTTTGATGGAATCAATTACCCTTTAAAACAAAGAATATATAATTGCCCTCAGGTCGGTTTAGTGCTTTAATTGGACTGGTCTGATAACTGACAGTTTTGCATGTTTGGTGCTCTGTTGTCACATATGCTTGACAACAAGACAGTATTATCCTATCAATGGACTTCAGCTACCGAGAAATGAATAATTTAAAACCTAATTTCATCTAAGAGAATAAACTGAAGTCTGGATAAGTTAAAATACATTGCCTAACCCTGTGCTCTGGTTAACCAGAAATTGCAGCACAGAATCGAATTGCAAAGTCAAACAAAAAGCGTAAATAATTATTCAACAAGAAAACAAGTTTCCGTGACGTGATTGGCTTCGCGTGGTCGCAATTCCCAAGTTCACCAAAATGTTGCCGAACTGGGACCAGTGAACAGGTTGGTACAAATTGCACTAGCTTTGGTGGTGGTGAAAAATTGCGCAGGTTTTTGGAACTTTACAGATCCGGCGCTGGGGAGGTGGGGGGGAGAAAGGGAAGTTGTACATGTTCCGCTTTGCAAAGTTTTTGTGTGCTGGCAAAAACCGCAATCATAAAGCTGGCGAAAAAATCAAGGTTCAGGTTTGTGTCATGCCTGTGGGCATGACACAAACCAGGGTGTTGATAACAGCGGAATGTGTTTCCTTAGCATTAGCGACTAGCTCTGAGTTGCAGACTTAGGCAACTACAAGAGATGTCAATTTGCCAAAACTCCTCGTGACACGAACGATAGACTTCTGCCAAACGTAGCGCATTCTTTATTAAGAGACAGCTGATGATTGCACTAAAAATTAAACAGAAACATATGTCGCAGATGTAATTTTTATAGAAGTGCTCCTACTGAAGTGTGGGAAGTTTAACATTGGCTTCATTAAGTGCTTTAAAGGTTTTTCATGTACTCTCATGAGGGGACTTATGCTTCCTACTTTTCGTGTGGTTTGTTCATTTAGCTTCAACGAACCTCTCATCCGGTACTTGCCTGATTCCACAGATCGCGTCTCTTAGAGAAGGGAACTTTTCCCGTCAAATTTGCCTTATTCAGGAAAGCAAACGAAGTGCTCAATGGCTAGACCCCTTCTACCTCCTTTTTAAATAGCCGTTCGTAGTTATGAATGTTGGTTTAATTGTACCAACAACATGGGCAAGTAATTGTTTCGTGAACCCAAAGCTGTGTATTTTTAGCATTTACATGCTTCAAGGTACACAATTTTGTAATAAATAAATAATTTACGAAAAGTTATTAGTGATTTTGAAAGCCATCAAAATATTCACTAAGTAGGCCCTGAGTTCTTAATACTAAAGAGTGCCCGTACCGGAAGAGGTAAGTGGCATCCAAGTCATAGTATCCGGAGACTTCCCTGAAGACGAAAGTAGTCATGATACTCGGACAAAATGTGTATTGTCGACGTAGATAAGGAGTTTGGGGCTACTGGGATGGGTCTAAGGCCAGGCCGCAAGACGGACGTACAATGGGGAAGACCTTCAGTGGACCGTTACCGAAACCGATAGGTAAACAAACAATTAAAGCATTGCACAAATATCTTGACACTGGAGAATATTTTGATGCGTCGAGAATCTGGTGCTTCGAATTTTTCAGCTGGAATTTACTTTATTTTATGCCATTTTAACATTGTAGTGCAAGTAGATGAAATGATCCTTTCGCTATTAGGCTTGAAATTTAAGCTGATCAATCACAATACGCCGAATCTCAACCATTACAGATAGAAATTATCTATGTAATTTCATCCTCCCGTGCCCACATCTCCCATTTGACATCGAATTACACGAAGCCACACCACCAGCTCTGCCCAATTTTAGCCTCTAAGGTGGCACAAAAAGTATTTGTCATTAGTCATGGAAAAAATGATGATCTCGTAGTGCAAGGATTAAATTACTCACGATTATTTGACCTACTGGCCCTAGAGGAGGCTTTTTTAAAGGCGCCTAATTACCCAGGTCTCTGCTGCAGTTTGAGGGAAGGTCATGTAATCCTAATGCCGAATAGGGAGGCGGCTCTTAAAGGAAAGAAACGTCCATTTGAAGGAGGAGAGTGGTATGGTGTTTGTCTGTCTAATTCAGTTGTCTAACCTCACGTCCCTGACTGTTTTAAGGAAATAATGAAGTCTGTTTTGTAATGCCCTAGTTGTTTCTTTAAATCTATGCCCCCTCCATTGTACCTTATCGGGAGACCTGGCCTCTGGCCCTTACCAGTAGCCCTCCGAGCCTTGTGTACTTTGGCAATGCATATTATGCCTTCCTTCGTCTTCAATCTTTCTGATTCTGAATAAATCCAATTTGTTACACTGTTAAAGTTTAGGTGGTTAACCATTCTTGAAACCGATTCTATCAGTATCACATGCTACAATTTTCCCAATCGTGTTCGGAGTCATCATTGTGTGACATGTGTTTCGTACCTGATTATAATAACCACTTCCACTAAAGTGCATCCAAAACAGAGGGGTCAGGATTAAAACAACAAATCTTAATGCAGAATTCTCTTGGTTTGGATATATTTGTATTCACTTAAGTTTTAGAGCAGCAGTTGAAACAGGTAAAACTAATCGGTATTGGAATAGAACAGGACACCAACTAGCTGACTGTGGTGTCCAAATTCCCTTGACACCCTGGTAACACTAGTGTTAGGCGCTAATGTTATGGAGAGAGATTTAATGAGCACAAACATATTTTGTGCTTTTGTGGGAAAAATAACTTATTGTAATTGATAGGGGAATAATGATGGCATAAGAGTGCGATAACCAATCCATTGAAGCAGTTAAAAGGCGGATAAATGAGTGAGAAGTTTCAGAATCATAAATAACAGACTGAAAAGGATCTCTTTGAGTATTGCCAGTCACTACCAGTTACTTTTGCCTGTTTTCATTAAAGCCAGCATAAGCCACTCGTAAAGTGGATAATGCACTCTGATACATGTGTCCTCGTCCCATAGTAGACCTGGTACGATCGTACTCTAATATTTGAGAGGCCTGGAATAAAATTTTACTTGAGACAGCACCGATCTCTGAGAACCGCACTCTTCCTTATTACAATCGCTTCTTCACAAATGTATTAAAAATAAAGTTTGCTTTATTCAATTTGTTACTATTGTGTTGCACAGGCTTTGCCAGTTACGTAGATTGATTGGCGCTGCAATCAACTCCAGTGTTAAGCCATGCGCTTATTTACGGTTAGAGCCTCCCATCTGTCAAAACGAAAGACTTTAACACAGATATGGCCCAGGGAAGGGAATGGAAGCATCACATCGCTGAGGTCACATCACCACATTTGCCACGACATGACAACTTTTCGCTGAAACAATTCACTACTTCCCCACAGATAAGTGGAACCGAAACGTAATTCAAAATTTTAATTCTTTATTGGTTTTGCCTCCTCTATGCCCTTCAGCTGTCCTCTTCGTCAATCTCCTCTTCTTACGGTGATGATGGCGGCAAGTGAGATGATAATCGACAGAAAGAAATGTAGTGAATAGAAGGTGGAAGTGAAGAATGAAGGCGAGAGGGAAGAGAGGGAGAGGAAAACACAAGAAAGGAAAACTATTCATGGACTGACTGATGGGAAATGAGATGTGTGTGTGTGTACGTGTATGGCCGGACTTTAAGTTAATTAGGTAATAAATACAGGTAGTGAGAAAGCGCGCACACAGGGACGTACAGTAAAATCTGCAATCGGACGAGTGGGTGGGGTAATAATCTGTACAAAAGACGCCGTAGATCTAGGGTCAGGGGAGGCGAGGTGTCGCGCTGTCAGGTTTGTAATTTGTGGACGAAGGTGTTGGATTGTTTACTACCATAATGTTTTAGCGCTGGCCATTCAACGCTCTGTACTAAACTGGAGCTCCCTCAGCAAATTTGCCGTTCTCCTTACCTCGGCTGTTGTTTCCATATTGCTGAAGCGGAGGCTCTTCTATTACATTTCTACAAAAACGTGGGTAACTGAGTTTGGGAGCTATAGTATGCTTTCGATACAGATTAAATTAACTTTTCTTGCTAGAAAGTATATAAAATTACACAATAAGCCATGTAGGTGTTGAGGCTGCTTACACGTATCTCTTGTTCTGATGCGTCCTGCTAGTTCTCTCCTCTCTATTCTTCTTCTCCGGGTAGAGACGACATTTATAAATAATGATGAAGACAATGAAAGCCACAACGAGCGCACCGACCACCGTGCCCCCAATGATCACCTCGGTTCTCATTGCGCTACTCCTCGCCCTACCGTCTTCCGCCTGGTGTCCACTAGATGGCCCGAGGTCAGCTGGGCTACTGTCACTGCCACTTCCGCTCTTATCGCCGCCGTCCTCGCTGGTGCTGCTTGAGGCCTTTAATGAGTCCTCACCGCCTCCCTGCTTCATATCCGGTTCTCCCTCTGGGCAGAGGTCCTTATCCGTAAGCTCGGACAACTGCTTTCCGGCGAGGTTTGGTGGGCTCGCACACTTCAGCCTTTGCAGCTCACTGAAACCCAACACACACGGTTAAGTAGCTCTTAGTGAAAAATAGCGGTATAGCAAAGGTCTGATGCTTAATATAATGCCAAAGTAGTGAGACTTCAATGCCGCGCGGGGCTCTAAGTAAATAGCAGCGCTTAAAATCACAGAGGACGGTGTTATGCAACAGTACTGATTATAAGATCGGAAAAGAACTTCCAGCCAGAGACCTTGATGATTGCAAGCAGCGCATTCAGTTAGATGAATGTTTTCTAGTAAATTATTGTGCATTTGTAAGTTCTCAACTTATATAATTTAATCCAAAACTACACAAAAGCACACACAAGTATCTCGAGGTAAAACCGCATCTTTCTCATAGTGCTCCACTGAGACGATGATAACGATGATTACGTGGAGGTGGCGTTAATTTAATTTATCAAAATATATACCGGAGTTTGAACTTTAACCAATTTTTTTCTTCTCATAAATTCAAGGTTTCTCACACAAACGGAGAGGTTGCAATCAAAACATCATGATGCCAGAAATATGGAAATGGAAGTCGGCAAAATCTGTGCGATCTTAGTCGGTGGATCAATTTATCAATCATACTACCAGTTGGCGGTGAATGGAATTTTAAATTTATTTGACAGCAAGTTTGGATCAAAATCGCAAAAATTTGAGAGCGCGTGATGGATTGATCCCTCTGATTAATTGTTTTGATTTGTGGATAGGATTTGGAGTGCGCCCCTAGAGCAACCACCAAATTAATGTGATCTGCGTAGTAGACTTGTGATCTTGGCATAATCCTGAGGTCAATAATGCCTTCGTAAGTTGACGGATTGTGATGGCAGTACAGATGGGGGTGTTGTTAAATGCTAATCTGTGCGAGTTTTGTGGCTCCGCTGCATGATGCAAACGACTGGTGCAAAAGTCCCCATTTTTATAGGCGTCGAACAAGGCTGCTTCTTCGTTTTGGTGTTTGTCACACCATGTTGATGTATACAAGTATCGCAACCCGCATTTTGACGCGATTACTAGGTTCACAATGCCATCCTCTGTCATACTAGTCAGGCATGTAATGCCCTTAGTTCCCATTGAAGTGGTTCGGTTTTGCTTCAGTGCAACATCGTAACTTGGATTTTGGCATTTTGCTGCATTAGTCTATTTTTGAAATCGTAGTCAGGCTCACATGCGGCGGAGTCGTCAAGCCACTTCTAAGCCGTGCTTCTTCAAAATTAACAAAATGCTAAACGCTGTAAGGGGGGCGACATCATCGAGGTATGTGCAGTCTAAATTACTAGGTAATGCTTTGTAGTGGCCTCGGAATGAGGGAGAAGGTTAGGTCAGTTAAATTAGAATGAAGATCTTTTTATTGACGTACAGCTCCATCCAAGTGAGTATCCGTGCTGTGACTTGCGCACTGTTTAAATTGATTTTCAACGCATTTATTACCCAAACAAGCATTTGTGTTTGTACAACTACTCTCACTTTCCAAATGTCAATATGCAGATAGACAGGGACTAGCTGTGAATACAAAAACGGAAATGGTTCTTTATCTTTTCACTACTCTAGTAGTTGTTTTGTCATCTGCCGAAGGTAGCACGCCCTATGATAGCGCGGTTAACGCCCAAAATCGTCGTAGAGATTTGCAATACCACTGGGTCTCTATTTACACACTTCTCCGCATTGTAGCCATTACACTCAAGCGTAATCCGTGACTCACCGGCCAAGTTAGGCAACGCCTTCAACATGTCAACTGTTGACGTTCCTGGACTATGGGAACAAAATCGCCTTTCAATGGGCACCTGCATTGAAGCATTTGACGTGATTGAAAAAGTACAGAAAACCACATTTATCAAAAGTGGACAACTCTGGTGATGGACATGACTGCATTCAAATTGCTTGGAAGGGTTGGCAGCATGCTTCCTTAGGGGTACGGGTTGATGACATGAAACTGTACTGGTTTGGGCTTAATTGAAATCATATCGAACGGGTAAAAAAGCATTAAAGTATAAAATTCCACCACCGTCAGGGCCACCAGCAGAATCGCGGTGTGGAGCAAGGTCACCTCGACATTTCATGCGCATGCGAACGCATCTCAGTGAGATCGCTCGTCCTCTCTCGCATAATCGTGACCTCAGGGGACAGTCAAACATAAACACACACCCAGACAGAGATCGCACAATACTGAGAGAAACCGAACGAGAGAGTGAGAGAGAGAGGGTGGATGCGAAACGTGTACGAAGACGAGATAAATGAAGTATGGATAACACTGTTGATGCTAGGGTTAAAAGTGCAGTTGGTAACAGTTAGACATAGAGAGAAATCTCCTGCCTTGTCAAATACCTGGGGTTATCTGCGGGTAAGAAGTAGGCGGTAATTGCGAATGCTCACACATCGAATAAAGAAACCGCCCAATTTAGGTCGATTTATGAGTCGTGAAAATACTCAACGCATTTAACGCCCGTAGGTGTCTTTTGAGGTAGGCATTTCCCCTTGCGTACTTTTTACAGCTTAACTGAGAGGCTAGTTCCCATTGCTTAGCACTGCCCAATCACGAGTGCTTTAGCGCCTGACTCCATTTTTGGGTCTAAAACAGCACCAAAAAGGCGATGAAAATGTCCTTGTTAAGAAAAAAATACAAAAAATAGACGAATTATGACAAACTGGACTTGTAGTCATATTTGAAGCGTTACAAATACATCTAGTTGTTAAATAATATGTATTGGGCATCCACGCCTCTGGGTTACCAACTGCTGTGAATTCGTCAAGGAACGTGCAATTCAAAGTGCCAAAAGGCCGACATTAAAGTGTTGTTTTCGTTTCACCAATGAAGGGAAGTTGGCAAAAATGTTAACAGGAAACACTTTAGTTATTTCCAAAAGCAAATAGTTAAGTGAGACCTTGGTGCCAGTTGATAGCGAGTAGCCATTGGTTTATTCATATTCGTGAGTAAAAGCGATTGGTAGAAGCAGGCGATCACAAAACCCCCTACTTTTTTACCAAATAGAGAAAATTTAATAGCAAAATGAAGAAGGTGACTATACCGATTACTAAAAAGACGTGTATTATAGCCTTGTTAGCAAGTCTAGGCACTTAGAAAATAGAAGGGAAGTAGTGCGCTGAAAAGTGGCGGAAGAGTTGCCATTACGGTTCGAGTGGTTAGTTCTCCTGCATTAGCAGAGGCTTTGACTTTATTTTACGAAATGGGCAAAAGACGTGGGAAGATGTGACACAGACTTTGAAAATTACCTCATAGCATTGGGAGTCCTCGAATTACTATAGGAATAAATCAGATATGAAAGATTTTTTGGAGCTATGACAAGTGAAACGCAGTGATAAATCAGTAACTAGCAGTTTGTTTGCGATATCTCTATTTTTATTTGGATCCCACATTTGTAAATACGTGAACAAAGAGTATAAATGCGCCTGCATTAGAGCTAAAAAAGATATGCAAGTTGACTCGATTTATTGATATGTGAGACACAACTGGAGTCATTTCCTTTCTTCCCTTCGTGAAATAACTGCCAACTTTTACCTATCTTGGTTCTAATTTCGCAAGCTATTAGGCAACGGACATGTTCTGGAAATTGTCAAAACACTTCCTCATCTCATACTAATGTTAGTGTTTAGGAGACGTGAAACATGAGCGCTTACGGAGCGTAGTATCCAAAGTCTCCTTGCTTCCTCTTAAAACCGCAATTGGGATAAGCTATTTATTTTGAAATGAAGATTTCTACTTTTAACGAGCTACAAAACTATTTGGTCATATACTTACTTTGATGAGATTGCAAGATATGAATGCGGAATCTGGAAAACCCACTTCCTTATGAAAGCAACTGCATTTCAACAGCAGATTTTAAAAACTAGAGTAGATTTTGTCAAGTAGCTTCAAATTAGGATGAATCCGAAACCTCGTAGCTTTATTAAATGCGTATATATATGGAAGTGACAGACAAAAGCAGACTCACTTTTCCACAACACCTGGGTGTAGGTGTTTCAGTTTCACCATTGAGCAATCGCAATTCCAGTCGTTGTCATTAATTTTCAGACGCCTGGAATCGCTCTCCGTCAACCATTTGGCCAATGCCTCCCATGGCAACTGGAGGAGATGGCACTTCTTTATTTCCAGCGAGCGCAGCCGGGGTAGGAGTTTCTCAAAATCTGCCGGAGTTCCAACTATCTTGGTGCTCATCAATCCCAGATCTGTTAGGTACTCCATTTCCGTAAGATCAGCGATGTTGACCGTAAGACCGTTGGCTACCACCAGGTAGTTCAAAGACTTCTCCAATCCCTGAAGCATGTTTTTGTCCACCACTGCTGAGCCTTGGACATTCCTTAGTGTCAAACGCTTCAGTTTATTCTTTCCCCCGACTTTGGCGAAGTAGCCAGTCTCCACCTTGTCAATGAAGGATCGCTGAACCTCAATCTTCTGAATTCCACTGCTGGCTAATTGTGGCTCCTCCAGAGAGAGCCATGTCCCCTCCGGCAGTTGGGACATTACTAGGGTCTGGATCTCTGGACTTTGCAGATCCTCTCCATGAGGTACCTCTTCCCTGCAAATAAGGATTAACTGATGAAGGAAACAGCCTTTCTTGGGCATGCCTTGGGCACTGCCCGTGTGAGAAAAGATAATCGAAAGGATGAAAAGACTGAGAAGGAGCTTCATGAGATTTGGAGGTTGAAGCGAAGGAAGTTATGATGTGTGTGTGTGTATGTGGAGATAACGGCGAAACGGTAGTAGAGGGAGCCTGACGGATGAATGCCTGATCGAGATACAGGTGAGTGTGTGTGTATGTGTGTGCGTAAACGTTGGGATGTTTTGAGTGTGGCGAGTTGAAGCAAAGTGAAACTGACTCACCGCAGCAGTTGCCGCAGCAACAGCCAATGCATGGAGCCCAGCCTCGTAATTGGTTGCGCAATGCCGTTTACGCAAGCACGCGCGCATGCACGCACGCACTCGAGCTAGCGCGCACGCACGCCAAGTAGCACGCACGAGGTCGTGCACCAGGCAATGCATTCCAAAAGCAACGGCATTGTCTCCCCTTCTAAAAACCGCCGGCTGAGCACCCGTCCACCAATTGTGTGAGTGGCATCAATGACGCATGAAACCCCATTTCTGTTTAGTGAAAGGACAAGATATTTCGATATTTGCAACATTGGAAAAAACAACGGCCAAAATAGTCTTTTTTGGCAATATTTTATTTAACTCAATTAGCTTTATTTAATTCAACATGTGACTAACTCAGGCAGGTATTTGGATTAAGTGTACAACGGTTGAGTGAAACCTAAAATACTTGTTTAGTTAAATTGCCGTTGATTTAAAAAGTTTGCCGGTTTGAAGGGGACTTTAATGTTGACATAACACTCCAAAGGTCAATTTTAAGTAATTTTTTCACTTTGGGACCTGCAGTACCTCCAGCACGCTATAAAAAGGAAAGCATAAAATAGCAACCCTCACCATTTGGTGTTTGCGGAGTGTTTTGACAAGTGAATTTTCTAGTCTGCCGTCGTACCTCAAACTGCAATGACAGAGGAACAGATCGAACTCCTCGAGCAAAACTTCGGCCTGCATACACTCGACCCTTAGAGCTGGGAGGAGAGTCCACTGTTCAAGAGGACGCTGACTTCCATTAACTTTTTGGACCAATTTAACAGCTGTTCAAGAACCAAAAAATGTAATTCTCCCACAAATAAAAGTAATTGTCATTCCTTTCGCCAATTTCCACCAAACTCATTCATGTATGCCAGAATTTGGTGCAACCAATTTTCCTCAATTGATGAATATTGCATGTCACACATTTGCGACGCTGGAATCAAGTATGAAAATGGTGGCATCACATGTTACGCTGATGCCAAAGTTGTTAGTATTGCGTAAATATAGAAGCAAAATTCACTACTCAATAATTTATTAGAAATAGAAAAGTTAACGGTGGACTGTGTCACCTTAGCTAATTGGACTGCTTAAAGCCTGCATCGTTGATCTTTGACTGAATCCGCGCAACACTTGAGCCAACTTCTATTTGCTCTGCTGCAGTCTTACGTAATGACGACATTTTGCGGAAGTTCCTTGCAGCAAACCAATGACGTCTGATTCAAGCACAACTTGAGCACCCATTGCTGCAGCATTCATCCAATTGGTTGCTAGTCGTTACAGCCGAAAATGACCCCCAAATCTTCTTGACGCCAGTTTCATTTAACATCAGCACACAATGTCTTGGGTCCAATTTTAAACTCGGTTTTATGCATCAAAACGGCTATTTTTAGCAGTAGCACTTTATTTGTTTGGTGACGGTCCACTTAAGGGCTCCGCCATTGCACCCTTGCTGGGCAGCCCAGCCCTCGGATCATGCCAGTATACTCCAAGCCCCTCTGTACATCGACAATACGTATTCTACCCTAGTAATATGCTTTTCTTTGTCTTCAGAGGAGTCTTGAGACGCTGTAGTAGTGTTTCTAAGATTGCAATCCCTCTAGAAAATTCCAAGCAGGATCACTTGAACACAATGGAGTTAATGAGCTTTTCCAGAACTAGCAGCACTTGTAATTTACGCTTCAAGAAATCCGCATCAAGCATGTATTCACCAGCATTTCAAACTACAAAAAGTGCCGGTTTTTTAGTCCTCTTCTCGCAGCTAATAATTCCTATCTAACCGAATGTGACCTTGGCCCTTATGCAATGACTTTACCAAGTCATGGGGTGGGTGATAACCTATTTGGCCGAGGATATTGGCGGTGCAGTTGCTCCGTCCGTCCCAAATTACCGCTCCGCGCGCATTGCTGATGTCTAAGGGTCTAATTCCATTTGGACAACTACTTGGCGTCTATTTGCACAGATCGGGTTGATTGCGTAGGAGGGAGAACGTTGACCCCGATTGACGTTGAGGATTTATTACGGTAATAAGCTAATTAACATTATACCCACCTACCGCCACTACTTAGGCAGTAACATCATGCACATCCTGCCACCTTTGAGCATAACGATCTGTGATTTGGTAGGCAATGCTCGACGTAAAGTCGGGTACACGCACAACTTAAGATCGGGATGCCTTTAAATCCACTGAAAGCACCCGCCTTCCTGTTTTGTTTCAGACATCCTGCGATGCACCCTAACAACTGTTTAAAAAGAGCCCACATTAACAGAGCAAGCTCACACCTTGGGGTATTTCACAAGCACAGTACACTCTGAAAAGTAGGGGAAAATGCAGCAGACCATTAAATGTTTACGTTGATCGCACTCACCACGTCCGTAGAATTAGCAACTGTTTGATGGATAACGCTCAAATAACGTCAAGGCAACAAATCGTAACATTAAGTCGAGCTAGATGACAGATCTTAAGGCTGGCGCATTCTTTCAGATTTACACACGAGCGCTAGACACGCAACATCGTGACCTCAAGGGAGAATGATCATACTTTGGAGTACCTTCGAGGAAAAAAATTCACGAGAATTAGTAACTATTGGGAAGTCCCAGGAGCTGAGATTTGAAACTTCCTGCGCAAGAACTCCTCCTTTGCAGGAGTTCAAACACCAATGGCGTAGGAATTTTATACCGTAGAATGAGGACAGTCGATGACCCTCAGACCAAATAGTTTTGATCGCATTGCCATTCATGTAATTTGAGTAGCAATAACACTTTGTGCTTTAAAGTCCTACACCAAAACACCACATGAGCCACTAAGACTCTTCAAAGGCAAACTACATCCGCCCAAGCTAATCTTCCGCCATTGTACAACTATTCCAGAAATTTAAGGGCAAAATATCACAAGCTTAAACATGGATAATAAAAAATACAAGATTAGTCAGAAGTCAACATCCCAACCCTCATTATTTCCCACATCATCAACTTTAGCTTCATCTGGGCTCTTGGAAGAGTCCTCGAAGTTATCATTGACCGCTTTCGACTGATCAGCATCTACAGCTTGAACTTCCGAAGGTTCTGGGTGAACGGAACTCGACTCAAGGATAATGCGAGGTGTCGAAGCCACAGTACCCCCCACCGCCAACTGCTTCTCCTGGCGATCTACAACGGTTCGTGAGAAATAGGCAGTCTTTGATTGGGATATGTATGCGTTGCTGAAGGGAGGAGCAGATGGAATATTAGTGGTTGGTAAGTCTTCCTTTTCGCAATAAGTGTTCCCTGGTAAAGCACTGTCAGACCTGAATCGCCGAAGGTCATGGTGTTCTTGTGTCACATTAACCGAGATATCTGCATCTTCGGCCCAGGTGGTTTCATCCTCACCCAAATCGGCATTGTTTGCTGGTTTTGCCGAAAGAGGCGACTGCCCTTCTTCAAGAAGTTTCTCAGCAGAAGTACCAGCGTTAATAGCTTGTTCTTCAAAAAGAGGTTCGTTTCCTTCAACCCTTTCCACCTCTGTCTTCCACTCATTTGAGGAAGTAGGTGTTTGAGCTTTGATTTCTTCTTCTAAACCTTCAGAATCAATTTTTTTGGTCGGTGGCGAATTTCCATACAAATCCCAATCGCGGGGTTCGTTCGCGGACACATTGGCATCAATTTCCGATGATCTAGCAGTCTCCAGCTCACCTTCGGCATTTCGTTGAATCAAATTAGAATCTGGTTCGACCGGCTTGTCATCTGTATGAAGATTTGGCTTTTCTTCATCATTAATATTGGTATCCGCATCTCCACCCCATGCATTGTCACCTTCACTCCAGTCAGCATTAAATGAAGCCAATTTCTCAGGACTGGTTTCAGATCTACCAGTCTCATCCAAATCAGTTGCTCTGGTAGTATGAGATGCAATAGTACCGGAAGGTAGGAGCACTTCAGTATCAGGATTAGTTGGTGTTCCATCAGGATTTGCCACATCAGATGACTCTTCTTTACTATTATTAGCAGGAGAATCAGTTTTAGCCATACTCTGTACATCAATTTCGAGATTTTGAAGACTGGCAAAATCGGAAGGATCTGTATCTGCTTCCCACCCACCTTTCCAATTCGCAAATTCATCCCCAACAGTACCGACAGCCTCAACCTTTTGGTCCACAATTGCCGACTCTCCGAGATCTCCAATCCCGGCGACATCGACATTTTCATTCACTGACAATTTGGCATTAACTTCAAACCCCGAATCAGCAGACAACTCTTTTCCATTATTATCTTCAATCAACCTAGACTGCGGTGAAGTGTCTAGATCGGATGAATAAAGAGCAATTGGTCTTCCCACATCACGGGCACCGATGTTTACAGCTTCAACCAGTTCTTCTCCGGAGCCTTTGTTTACTGCCTGTTCTACAACAGGCGACTGCATGTCGGTCGCTACTGTTCCATCCATTTCCCTTTCCTCAGGTTTATTCACAATAGAGTCATCAATGTTCGTAAGAACTTTGTCATCTTTGTTTATGGCAAATTCTTCTTCCAAATACTCAGCTTTCTGGTTGTTGACATCGACGGGTTCAGCGTTTCTGCTATCACTCGCTTCTCCCCCCACATCTCCGTCAATCCAATTAGCAAGCCCATTGTCAGCATCTGGACGTCCTAGTGTGGAAGTAGGACAGCTCGTCACCATCGCTGGAACAGAAATCTCTGCTGACGCGCTCAGCTCACCAGCATCATCACCGCCTAGATCGCTTAATGAGATGGAATCGTCTTTACTAGCACTTTCTTCTTTAACGGAGAGTACGGTGGTGACTTCTTGATTTGAAAAGTTGGTTTGATCGCTTGTAGGGAATAAGAACTCATGATTCGCCTGAATATCTATATCTTGTTCATTGGAAGCCGCTGAAACACACACCTTTTTGTTCGTCGTTGAATGGCCAATTAAGTTTCCGTCATCGCCATCATTTTTTTCATCATTCCAGTCAGCAGGTTCGTTGAGAGTTTCCGAAACTCTTGACACAGAAGTAGGACAGGTCGTTATCATCGGTGGAACAGAGACCGTTGCTGGTGTCTTTAATTCATTAGCATTATCATCTAAAACGGAAAGAATGCTAGAGTTATTGTCGTCGTTTTCTGACTTTTTGACAGAGGGCGGACTGATAAGCTCGTGACTTGGGGAGATGCCGTTATCCTTCATGGAAGGCTGGGGTTCCCGATTATCCAGAATATCAAAACCCTGCTGCAACCCCCCAAAAACACCTTCCTTTTCCGTTGGTGGATCAGTTAAACCTAATTTGGGCTGCTCCAAAAATGCACCTTTTAAAGAAGGGCTTTTAGGAACACTAGGTAGGCCCTCGCCCTTGCTGTCGGTTGGGAAAGAATCCCCCTCTTCGACGAATGAAGGAGTCTTTTGAACACTCAAAAAGTGTTTATCACCAGGAATGTCATTAGGTAACGTCAGTTCCAATTTAACCATGCTAGCTTCAGAAGAATTTGCGGCTGAATTATGAGACGTTGAGCTTGACTGCACACACTTTTTTCCGTCCTCCATGCTTGGTTGATTTTTCCTCAGAAGAGAATAGGGGTGATAGGGTTGGAGGGCTGTATCGTTGTCAGATTGATCACCTATTTCTAACAAAGTACTATAGTGATTATTAAATCGGTTTTCGGCTGTGGTATTACCGTCTATTGTCATGGTTTCTGCAGATCTATAAGCATCCAAGCTAAGTCTATCAATGCTCTCAATTTCTGCACGCGTTTCGACATCTTGTTGCCCTGATTCCTCAATTGCAGTAGATGCTACTTTTGAAGATAAAACAGCTGCAGATTCCTCATTTACTTCCTTCCCTTCCTTATCTTCCTGTGAATCTTTGACAGTAGCCTTGGTAACTGGAGGTACAGTCAATTCCGGTGCGGTAAAATTCTTCATCCTTGGCTCGTGAGTTGACAGAGAAACAGGACTTTTAGGAGGTGCTTCCACGTCGTCATGCGAGACTTCCTCTTGATTCGGTTCAGTCATTTGACAAGGAGCGGCTTCCTCCCTAGCTTCTTCATGAGGCCAAATTCCCAAGTGACTGTTCCATCCTTCAACTTCAGTTGGTAGCAGAGTTGACGAAACTGCCTCTGGTTTGGATTTCTGCATTGATGCCAAATGTGCGTCTGTGCCACGGATGGTACATTTCTCCGTAGAAGACAGTGAAGGTTCAACTAATTCCAGAGCAGAGGAATCGAGACGAGCAGTCTTTAAATCCTCTGGAACAACAGAAGGCCCATCGTTTTCAGGATGAGATGAAGCAACTTCCCAACCAACCTCATTCTTGGCTAAAATAGAAGGATTAGGTTTCTCCAAAACTTCACTCTCGTTTTTTTCCACTTCAAAGACAGGAGCAAATCCAGCCGAATGAGCAGCGATAGCTTTTGATTCGAATTCCACTTCCTCCTTTTGCAGAAGACTTAATTCAAGAGAATGCGGTGCTCCCTTAGCGATGGATAAATCGTTGGATTCTTCAGTCAAAGATGCAAGAGCCTTCGGCTCCCCATGTTGAAATTGTGAGGGTTGACGTTTTTCGAGAGCCGTAGTCAGAAGAGACGCGTGTGCATCTGAAGTAGGTCTCACTTCATCAGTGTCTGGGATAACTGACTGCTTGACGGTGTCACCTGCTCGCAGTGGACCGGTACTCAGCTGCCCCCATACCACGAAAATAGGCGCACAGACCCGTCGGGCGAGGAGAGAGACAGTTTGAGAAGTAGAAGGGACCTCCTCTTCGCCCTCCAGACGCAGCTGCCAGAGATGTGCTACCGCATCGCCTCCGAAGATATATTCCAGCAGACAGGAGAGAAGGTGGGGTACGGCCACATGGGCGAATACCGAGGCAAGATTAGAACTCTGTGCGCGTGCAGCTGCGCTGTCCAATTGGCGCGATCTGTGCGCTGCTACGATCGCCTCGGCTGCGCCGCTCAGTATTCGAATGCTTGCTGATAGCACTCTGAGTGTTGAAATGAATAAAATAAGTTAGTTCTGGGCTTGGGGTTTCGGTCAGTTGGAGTCTACGCTAAAAAAATAATGCCAATAGAATCCTAGAATGAACTTGTAGAGGAAGGGAATATATATAGCCAGTCGAAGCTCGGTAAATAAGCAATGCGTTACTAAGCTCTATTTATCGCAAAGAATGAATAATTCGTAGCTTCCAAAGGCATAGTGATATTTTACAAATACGATTAGGTCCTGGGAAAAAAGTGCCACCTATTTGCGTTGCAGAGAACGAAGATCTCGAGAGAGTTTTACAAAATCGACAGAAAAAACAGCAAGTTAAATAGTTCACAACAGTTTAGCTAACATAAGAGTGGGAAGAGATACTCCAGTCGTCTCCACCCTCAAAAATAGTAAAAGATTAGAAATAGGTAGGTAGTAACAGCTGTGATAGTACGCTATGAGTAAGCCCAGTTACCGAGGGAAGATTCTCCAGGACAAGGATTACAGTCGACCGAGAATGTTCTTAGGTTTCAGTTTGAGGCTTCAGCTATTCAGAGCCCAAAGATAAATTAGTACAGCAGTAAAGCCTCGAGAAGATACAACGCTCAAATGCCTACAATGAAACTATCGCTTTGTATTTGAAACGAATCGTGCTGTTCGTTTTGACGGTAACAAAGCAAAGCACGGAGGCGATTTATGAATGGTCTTAAGTATTGAAAACAAGGCCACAAACTTCTCAACGGAAGGGATTGCAGTTTGCAAATATCGCAAACTAGCACTTCTTCAAGATTAAAAATGAAATGTGAAGAAGCTCTAGTTGCCATAAGGAATAAGCGTTTCGCGATTTATTTAAAGGCCAAATTAATAAATAGCAGTAGATTACGAATAACTTCAAGTAGTAAGGAAAAAATTACAAAATACAGCCGTTTTAGCTACAGGACATGAGATTTGCAATGGGGCATGCCAGTAGTCGCAATGCATTCAAACAATGAACTATAAAAAAGAGAATTCCCTAGCGATTGCAACGGCTGAAGTTCACCAAATCCAGCCATCCTCAATAAGAGACCTAATTGTACTAATACAGAATAAAAAACAAAGAAAGGTGTTCAATTAATCACATTCAAGGCTGACATACCCATCCCTGAGTCCAACGGAACAGCAAATACAGAGGCCATTAAAGGCAGTAAGCAGGCGATTACAAAAGAAAGCGATTGGAGGGTGAAGCGCGATAGCCATGGGAGCCGAGAACTCATCAGGACTTGTGCTTTCTGGTTGATTAGTCATAAAGGGCAGTTCTGATAACTCCCAAGGCCATAGTTCCAACGTGGCACTCAATTCTATCAGTGCATTTGTCAGTAGAGCCTAGCAGACACACATGCCTGAGTAAAAACGCAAACTCACCTCAAAGTAATTCAAAGTCGCACGAGAAAAAATTGCTCCTAAGTGAGCTCGAAAATCGCAACCAATTCGAGCAAACGACCGACCAAAATAGAGTGCCTGAGTCATGACTGAGTGGATCTGTTGGAAGGTTGTAGGTGCATCCACGCTATCAAGGGTAATCGAGTCATTGGCCATGGCTAGCCTAATCCTGTCACTAATCTCAGAGGGTGTGAAGTGAGGAAGGCTGAGGAGAGTGTTGAGATCTCCGTTCAAGCCATCCAGAAAGATACCAACCTGATGCACAAGCCAAGAGTGGAAAAGACTCGCCTCGGTGGAGGGACCGAGATAATCAATACCGTTTGTTGCTAGGCCCCGTAGTGTCAGAGCAGTTTCGTCTATGTGGAGTGGAGAGATATCCGCAAGGACTGGTTGTTGATGTGGATCAGTCAATTTAGACGAGTAGGCCTCTTCATCAGCGAACACGGCACTAAAGGGAAAGCTTGCTTAGAACTAAGCTATTTCAAAGCCATTTGACGCAAATAGAACGACCAAATCTCACCGATACTGCGTGATACTGTCGAAAAGCTGAACTCGAGTTACTTCAATTCGCCTCATGGCTCGAATAAAGGCCCTGTATTCAGCTTGCTGATGCCCAGAAATGTGTGCCGATTTGGTTGCTGAAGAGGAATCAAAACTGGACAAACCTATCGGTTTTGTGAGGGCAAATTCCAGCTGATCTTTTATGCAAATAGCTCGTGCTTGAAGGAAATTCAAGCGTAATTCCTGTTCAGTAAAAGCTTCGAACTGTCGCAAGTATATAACCACCTGGAGTATATAAAGCCGAATATGATAAAGCAGTTCTTATAGACGCTTTTACCTTCAGGCAGACGGGCAGTGTAACTGGTTCTCTGAGCTGTTTGCAAAGCTGACTGAAAAGTTGACCACTTATCTCTTGAGCCTGAAGACCCACCATCCGAACTATGGGCACTGTCCGACCGTATTTTTTCGTCATGCGCTTGGTATGGCTTAAGATATTGAGGGCATCCTGACAATAGCCGTTTCGAATGCAAGTATCCATGAGTTGTGGTAGCTCCAGAAAATCTAAAATCTGATGAAAAGCAACGACATAGGTAGGAAACACAAAAGGTGGTACCAACTTGGGTGTATTTCTGAACGAACTTAGCAGAGACGCGAAAAGCAGAAGCATTTTTTCCGATGTTATCGAAAATAGTTTGAGCAGCACTGGAAACACCAGCAATACTTGCAAGTAAATTCACATTCGATTCAGATATGGACAAGAACTCTCGGTGAACATCACGACTTGTGTTTGCATTAGCAAGAAAAATCGGGTAGTTTTCGACAGCAAGCTGTTCCGTTTTGTATCTGATACTGTCTTCTTCCATTTGAATACGCTTTGGGGTGGCAGCTAATTCGTCAAGACGAAGGTGTGAAAGTTTGCTAATACAATCCGCAAACTGAGGGTCTGCAGAAACAGAACTCTCCACCTCCGAAGATAGCAAGAGCATTTGAATAAGTTTCTCAACCTCGACTTTTGCATCAAAGTTTGATAAATCAGTCACAGAGTCCTCACCCATTGTCTAAAACGGCAATTAATAAGGTAAAGGAAAGACCATGTTTCCCGTACTAAACAAGAACAAAGGGTCTTCTTGGTAAGAATTTATATTTGGGATAGATTTAGCGGGAAAATAAAAGATAGCAAGCCATCGAAAAACAAGACAGAGAGACTAAAATATGCAATCGGATTCCAATAACGGCCGATTTGTACAAGATGCCCCAAAATCCTTTATTTTCTGAGAATAGCCAGTTTCGCAGTCTCGTCACCCTTTTCATGTACGCACAAGTACATACTAACAGCAATCCAATGGTCAGTACTCCATCCAAACTATACGCACTGACCATTAGAAGATACTACTTCCCAACGCGGAGGCGACCCAAAGCACACCAACTTATGCTTCGCGCTGTATCTGCAGCATCTGAAATAATTGCATTACTGCTTTATAGCCTTATAATTTACACCACTCAGAAATTTTAGGTTAAGCGAAATAAGAAGTCTAGGATTGCGTAACACCGTAGGATTAAAAACAGGGGATTTTCAGAAAGCATTCAAATTTGCGTGTCAGTGTTTTGGAAGGATAATACATCTAACTTCCAAAAAATTTGTGTATAAATACATTTTAAAAAGTTTTAGGAATTTTGCAGTCATTGCCATTTTTGTTCTGGCAATTTCATTTATTACTCCCAGGAATAACCCATCATTGCTCATAACGGCAACCTTTTGAATGATTGTTTTGTTGTCTTAACTGAGAACCGAGCACATTTTTTTTGTATGTTTTGGTTATGCTTATCTACAAATGCTAAAGGTATTATTGATTTCTGGGTGAAGTATTTGCCGGTTTCTTTGCGCTATTTTTACGATGTCTGTCACTAAACGGGTTTTATTTTCATTAAGTATTTTTAAGACAAATTTACTGACTATCCACTTTAATGCACTGATCTGTTTCCTGTACACCCACTGAAGACAGTTTCGGAATGCCAGTCGCTTTCCTCTCCATCGTCAAAAACTATTTGAATATTTATTTTAAACTCGTGTGCAACTGGAGATTTTACGTGTAAAACTTATCCACAATCTTCACTTTTCCTAGTGGTAGACCTCACTGCGTTATCTCAATTTTCTTGTATGTTGCCCGATTGGGTTATCCCATCCCATCGCTTAAGTTTTGAGTGATTATGTTTTTATTTTGTAAAAATTTATCAAAGTCAAAAATGCATAATCTTTAGTAAGTCATACTGACATATATGACAGGCATTTAAAAGAAATTTAACAAAATCCACAAAAACATGGTTGAGATTGCGTTCACAAAATCTACAAAGAATCACGCGTTGAGTAAGAGCTCCCACTTGTTACGCAGTTTTACTCCAAATGCACATAGCTCGGTGTACACGGAGACAAATGAAGGACAATTTCCCAATTTTGATGTGCTGCCTCATCTCTTCCTTGACTGTACAAAAACACGACACGTTCATATCTCACTCTCGTTGATTTCGTCAGGATCCTCTGAATCCACTAAATTGATTGTAAAACCCAGAGGTGAGGGGCCCGGTTTTCGAGGGTGTCCGTCTCGATCTTCACAGTCCTCCGGAAAGTCCCTTAACTCTTCGTTCCTCTCGCCAACAGTATCGACATCATTGAAATCGTCGTCACCAACATCACAATAGAGCCGTGCTCGAAGGTCGTTAACGGCTGCGGCGAGGCCCGCGAGAGCCTCAGGCACCCGTGCTGACAAATCGTTGAAGTCATTATCTTCTAGACCCTCCTGACGATCCACTGTGCTGTTAACGAACTTAGAGAAGATGCTTATGGCGTTCTCCACCTGGTTCAGCAGTATTACGTGGCTAAAGGATGAGAAGTAAGTTAGATTTTATGGACGCTTCTGGGCTTCTGTGTCTCTGTAATTTTATTTTCTGTTTTGAGCATTGATATGCAGATTTATTTATAAGTAGAGTTTGATTTAAAATAAGGTTTGATTTTGCAGGTTATAAAAGGTATGCTTCGGTGGTGGTACGCTGCAAATGTGTCTTGTCATCATTAGTAATAACCTGTGCGTTTGTCATGTAAGCCTCTCCAATTCAGTCACTGTTATTCAATACGCCAGACAACTGTGAGAGTGTGGGTACCACTTTAGAAACGTGAACTAAGTTATTCGTCAACTACAGCGTAGAAACCGAACCCACGGTTACCTCACACCACCTGAGGGCTTTCTGGGCGGCGCAATGGAAACTGGGACTTTTAACCACTCACTGGCAAATCATTTTAATGGTGAAAACGCTTCGAAGATGACCGGCTTTTCGTCAATGACGGCCCCTGCCTTAAATGATTTGCTGGTAGTGCATGGACAGCCGTAATTTCAGTGGACATAAAACGCATTGACCTTTTGATCTCTGGCAACAGATGCCTAACCAATCGCTGTGGGGAGACAACGCAACCACACATGAAAGCAAACATTTGCAATTCCAAGAAGTTAGTGCACGCTGAATACCAGGCCTGCGTTCCGCTTTTGCTCAGTACGAGGGGAGTCGAACACTGCGATGAGTTGAATGAACTTCAAGGTAAGATAGATAAAGATTTTCAAAATGAGCATCAGAATCGTAAGGATTCACCAATGATACTAAAAAATCTCCTGATGTTGAGGCTTTCCAGCTTTAAACATAAGATTGGACTATGCACGTACATCTATCAGGTGAATGTATGGGGCAAGAACTTTATTTTAACTCATTTAAATTCTTCCTCATTTGATCTCTATGTTACTTGAGGGTAATTGGTAGGTAGTGATTGTGGCACTCCAATGTGTTGTTTCCACATCTCGTCTTCAAAGTCATTCCACTACCGTCTTGAGTGAAAAAAGAAAATTTGGTACATTTAATGAAATTTCCTTCAAATCCATTTAACAAACATCTTGAGGGGCATATCTAGGAGTATTAGTGGTGCAGAATTATGTAGTCCTAACAATGACCTTCACAATGCTAGCTTGGGCTAGTTCTTGCAATACCATGGGTGGATTAGTTGGTAACCTTAGTGTTCAACTCTACGTTAGCTCAACTTTAACACGCATTGTTTTCCACTGAAAGAGGAGCATAAAATTTTCTTTGACTAGTCATGATTGTGTAAGAGGATATCCCCTCCGGATCTGTGATTTTGGCTTTTGGAATTAACTTGTGGTCTAGGAAAGAATGCCTGGATGATTAGATATGTAGTCAAACAGTATCTGCTAGTAAACAAACTAGTAATGATGCTTTGGAAGTTTCGGGATGCGGAAAATGATGCAGAAAATACTTAAGCTCAATGAATATAGTAGAAGAATAACCTATGCGTACACTTCGTAGTTAGGTCAAGACATTGCACTTTTATGCGGTTAATTCCGAATAGATCCCTTCTCATGCAGTTCAGTAACAAAAATGTTGCTGAAAACCTGTCAAGTTTTATTACAAATAAAAGATAACATCTCGAAACTAGCCTTTGAGGTTTATTCTAATACGTTAGTTTTGGGTGTTTATGATTTGCGTGCGAATTTAAATAATCAGCCTGATAAGAACACTGGAGGTTAGGGTAATTTGAAAAGTTATCTACGAAGTCAAACACACCAAATCCAATGAGGTGGTTAAATCACTTTTCTCACTACATTCGTCTACGTGAATATGTAATAAGAAAAATCAAAATGAAGTGCTTCAGATTTTGTGGTCAAACCTTAGAACGAAGTGACTTACATTAAAAAGTGGTAGCAGCACAAAGATGCAGAAATAAAAGACCGCATTCGATTTGGTTGAAATTTTGACAGTTGCATACTTATACCAGGGCAATCTCTGGCATAGTACGCATATAAGGACACATGAACACTCGTTGTTATCAAACAGCTTGGTCAGGCTTAAGTATAGCCATGCACACTCTTGTATTCCTGTGCTATGACATTTGCAAGTCTAAACAAAAGAAACAACCTCAAGTTTTCACTAACATTACGGGGATACACGCAGCTAGGTAGTGCACGGTCCATACCCGTATTCTAAGGTAAATAGTTTTGGAAGCATTGTTGCTTCGCTAAAACTTAGAGCCTAAAAAGTTGTGTGCATAAGATAAATGTAAAGAGTGTTCTTGCCTATCACGAATTATTTTCTGAGCTTTGGCTAGTCTAGCGGCCGCAGATCCCAAGTCCTTTCCACGATCCGTGTTTGACACGGTAGTAGCGCAAAGCCGATTTAGCTGCGAATGCAGACTCTTCAGATGAAGCCTTCGAATAAAAAAAGTGGTTGAAGTTGCTCATTTAGATTATGTCTCTATCATCGACACATTACCTTTTGACTTATGCTTTACAAAGACCTATCATACAGAGTCATGTCAAGCCCAAACATCGGTCAAACTTCTACTTCAATTGAAATAATTCGTCTTAGGCAAGAGGCCAGAAAGCCGCCCCACTCACTCTGATTCAACTGTATAGGCGTCGTAATAGTCTCGATGGAACCAATTCTGATTGATATCTTGCAGAAGACGTTGTTTCTCTTCTTCATACTCCCGTCGCAGAGCTGAGATCACATTGGCGTAGTCTTCGATATCTTGATCAGCCCCCTGTGAAACTCTCGCAGCCTCTTTATTTTGAGCTCTCTCGTAGAAGGCACGTCGGCTTTGCAGAAGGTGGTCCGACAGGCCTTTCAACTCGTTCAGGGCATCGTTTACGTCAGGAGACAAAGCTGACTGCTTTCTGGGTTGGAAATAAAGAGGGTACAAGTCAGACCAAATTGATGATAATCGGGTAGATACAGTTTGATGCACGAGGCTCTACTTATGCCACCTGGGCTACTAGTCCCCTATCCCTTTTTATGTTCTGTTGAACTGAAGGTAAACATAAACTACACACAGCGATATTTCCGGTCTCCAAAGCTTCGTTCTCTACGCCGGTAGCACGGAGTCCCACTCTCATTATCTGTGCTATTGTTCTTCTACTCATTCATTGTATGCATAATGAAGTTACTCCCAGCCTCCTGTCTTGTAGAATCTTCGGAAGTTACTTGGGGGCTGTATTGGTGACTATTGACTAGCGTAAGCCTGCCATGTGGTAAAATGTCAATGCGTTCTAATAATAACCACCTCATGGATAATGATGGTGACGGCGCTAGGCTAACTCTTGAATGTAAAGTGTGAAAAGTCTAATTACCTCGGTGATATCAAAGGGAAACAGGGTTATAAAATGCATGCTGACATCGCTACTGAGTGATAGTTGCATTCTTGCTGTACTGCAAGCTCTATATTATTCGGATCACCCGGGCTTTCTCGAAAAAGGGGTTTCAAACATTATTTCCAACGCACAGAAAGGACAAGGCATTAGCGTGGCTTGGGGCTACTTGTCGATATGATCTACGTTTAGAAAGTAAATTGTGCAATAAATAGAGATAAAGGTGAACAACTTGAACCGCTCTGCGAAAGCAGATATGCTGCCGCCATCCTCTAAATCCCTAAATTATAAGATGTTTTGACAAGTGACGTGGGGACTAAAGGAGAAACATTTGATCCCAGAGCGCCTATTATACAGCAAAAATGTCAATATTTCTTAACGATTACAGCCTTTAATAACTAAACCGCGTAATATTTTGCAATAAAACCCCAAGCAGATGATGATAGACTTTTCAGTGGTGATGAAATTTTTGGAACCTTTAAGGCAGTACATAACTGTAAAAGTAAAGTCGAGTAAAGGAGAGTGTATAGAGTGTTATTCACTAGTGCTTTCATTCGCTTTACATTCAATGCCTTTATTGGTGTTGCGGAGTTCGCTCCTTGCTGGGTACTTCAACGGTCTTCTATCTATTCTGTAGGTTAGTAATAAAGCTGCTTTCTGATGCTTGTGTCCCATTCCCGCCTAGAGAGTAACTCAAGATGTGAACTTGCCATAAACTAATTGCGCCTTTAGTAGCTAGACTGAATTAAAAATACGTAAGGTTAATTAATTACTCCTGTAGACGACCATGAAGCGTTCATTAAAATTAGAATGTCGATCGGAGACGCAATGGAGCCCTTAGCTGAGACTCGACCTTTACGCTGGAGGCATCGAGTTCTCCACACGCAGCCCATATCCGTGGAAAATCTACTTCTAGACCTGGAGGATAACTGTGGCACATATTGACTCGAACCTTTAATGATCATTGAACGGCATCGATAAGGAACCTCGCCTCAAAAGTGATCTCTCCCACTGAGCACGCATGCACGGAAAGGGATTGAAATCAAGTTCAAAGCACACTTTTACATGATTTTAGGACTTTGAAATGAAAATCGTCAACTTTCACTAGACTGTACCGAAGTCACCTTTTTCAGCGCTACGCTTCAGGAGTAGAAGCGGCTTTGAGTGGGCTAATGCAAACATTGGATCAATCGACTGCTACGCAAATGGGGTAACTTTTCAATTCGCAATTCTGGTGTATGAGTGCAGCCAAAAAAGCAACATTTGGACACATTTACAAACAAACGAAGAGATGGGTGTAATCCTTTTGGCAAAGCTAATCACAGTGTACAGAATGGTTTGACGAGGCGCATTGATCATACCTGTGCGTGTATAAGCGCCTGCCTGTGTGTGTGTGATGTGTAGTAAAAAAGCTACTAAGCACCTAAAATCTTTCCAAGTGGTGTGCACAGCTCGAGTGTATTGAAAGTGATTGTGCCAAAACATACGCTAGTCGAATTCGCGATCCCTTAAGCAGTAGCCTGTAAGGAGAGATAAAGGGAACCCCAAGCAGCCTTATTGCTTCCCTCTTTTGCTTCAAAAACAAAAAAACGGGATTTGCGTCAGGGCTGTCATGTAAATCGGTGACACTGGAGACGTGAGATCCCCTATGTCAACGCAAGTTACGCACTAGCCAATCAAACATCAATCAAGTTGATTTAAAGGTCCGGTAGTTAAGTTGAGTCGATTAGGAATGTGCATTTAGGCCACAAAGTCCTTGTCCAGCAGTAAATGGAAAAGTGTGAGGTCATTGCGAAAGGGTCAGAGCTAAGTGAATGAGGCATAAGATCGTGTGCCAACGTGTTCATTTTGAAAGGGGGGATAAAAACTCCCTTTAGGCAAACAGTTGCGATTAATATTACGAGCCCTAAGGCTTAGGTTCATGCAGGAAGCGACTGATAAGTGCAATTAAGTGTCTCAGTTTGATTTCTCAGAATCAAACAGCACCTATTGCTAACATGACACAGAGATTAGTCAGGCCTCATGCATATTCCTTGATTAAATAGAAAATTAGTTAACGGATTGTAACTGTACATTCGCATATTCTTCTTTTTTAAATAAAGGGAGTATTTTATGAGGTGTATTATGCAATCTTTTTGGAGGTCAGTGACTTTCTTTGAGAAAAAGAGTGGTTTTCCATCGATTGTCATTCCAACCAAAACATAGGGGACTCACGAGTTACCCAATCGAGCTGTCTGTTAGCCTAAACAGAATGCCTTTGGCTAGGGGGCATGATCACATCAAAGTGGAATTTAGACTGGGCATCTTGAAGACACCGAATACGATGGAATAAGGGCATTATAGAAACCAATAATGTGAGCAAATTTCACTACTTTAAGCTAATTAACCAGCAGATCATTCAAAACTGTCAAACAAGGACTTTTTAGTTTGGGAAGACCTTGTGGAATGTTGCGACACTCAGGTGAGTATTTGGACAAGTGATGGCATTGTGTCATTTGCATTCCAAAAAACTTACTGGAATGCACGGTCATTCAAGTCGTCATGTGCAAAGGCAGAGCGCCTCTCATCCGGGATCAACTAAAAGGTCATTTGATGACCTCATTAGAGGTGGGGCAAATAAATGTGCTTCAACCGGGGATCAGAGTGTACTTACTATGTCGTCTGGACGCTGCACTTTGCTGGAGAATAATCTGAAAATCATAAGCCAATGAGAAGATAATTTTCTTCTTCATGGTGCAACTACTTAAGGATGATGATACTCCTGAATCCCTACAAGAATTTAGTGCATAGCTTCAGCATACTTCATCACTTGACCAATCACTATCGTTGAACTCCTTCCTTCGTTCAAAATCTATGCCTACAAATTAGCAGTACTTCCTGCTTCAACTTGAAGCAAGGCTTGAAATGAGGGGGGGGGGGTATGGCCTTGACAAAACGAATAATCGACCGTACGAGGCCCTCAATCCCCCGGGATCCATCAACATATTTGGTGGCGTGGCTCCTCTTCCATCTCTATGGCCTTTTAGTCTTTTAGGGATTAATAATACATGTTATCATTGCTTTAATGGATGATTTAAAATGCCAAGTAGTAAATTGAAGCGATTTTGATGGACCCTGTTCATTATTTGTAGACTTCCATTCGAAATGACCGCTGGTATATTCAAGTACTGATAGTGAAAAAATGGCCTTACAAATGAAGGTCAGCATTACTCACTTATCCGAGTTGGCATTTCGTGAATCCACTGTCTCGGGGAGAATGACCTCCAAGGCCCCCTTACCATACTCCCGCATAAGCAGTTCAAAGAACACCGACTCGAACTCTACTCCTAGTTGAAGGTAGGAATCACTGAAAAAAGGAAAACACTTCAAGTTAGTACCTCCCCTATTTATTCAGTGATCATTTTGACATCAAATTACACCTAGCTCTGTATATTTTGGTAAATCTCTTGCGCCAAATATGGCGTTCTGATATCACTATATTGCCATACAACATCTACATGGAATTACCCAAAAAATCCGCTTATTATGGGTGACATTGAGACCCAAAAGCGTAATCAAGGCCGCGGATTACATGAAGATGGTCCCACAATCTTGACGCAGAATTTCACATAAAATTTCAATTGAATTTAAGAATTTAATTAATTTTGGGGTTTCAATACGATTCCAGTTAGAGATCACGGCATTAATTGGGGAGTAAAACAGCAGTCCTCGAATGACAAGTTGAAGGCTTCCAAGGCGTTCACGCGGACCAGATGGGCCAAAATGAAAATAGCATGTATGTGTGCGGTCTAGCCGATGCAGTTAAAGTAAGATTTTAAAACCTTCTTAGGGAAGCATCTGCACTCTAGGTTCTAGCAGTTTCCTGTTTGCCTTCTCATCTCGTCGCTTTATCGCGTTTGGATTAGAAATGCATTTCCTTACTTGGTACACAGAAGTTGACAAGGCAAAATATATTCGTAAGAGGCTGAAACTAAAGTGCAAAGCTTAACACTGATTGGCTTAGAGCTCCAAATACGTGCTATCATGGGAGCTGTTGAATGAGACGCATTTGTGAAGAAAAGGAATGAAAAGGTGGGATTACACCAATTGGCGGTGGAAAGTCATGCGGAATCGTGCGAAATTTTGGCAGTTTTCCTACGTCTACGAACTCCCGTCACATCGTCATAAATCTCACTGCACGATTCACACGATTTCACTTCTCCGGATTTATAATAGATTTTATTTTGTTTGCATACAGGAGTAAATGGAGAATTACTTGTAAAATCAATTCTAGCAGTCCATATAATTGGGAAACAAATGTTTACTGTTAATCTACTTACTTCGGGGAAGGGTATTCATACTTCTCATGACAGATAGAGCGACTGAGAGTAGTCGAAAGAGCCTCTAGCACATCCTGAACCTGAGTATCATGCAAATTCCCGTTCGTCAATGATGGATCCATTAGCTTCTCATGGTTCTTGATTATCTTAACTCCTGAATCTGATAGCCGATGGAGCATGAGACAAGTAGCGATGTAGCCGGGAAGCATCCACTTTAGATCCTGCTTCTCAGGAATGGCATTAAACCAATCCATGGATAGTCCATTGATCAGGTGAGCTGCGGCTGCACCTTTTGTCTTCTCCTTCCCCATCTCCTCTAAAATCTGCCCACACACCTCTGCCGCTACGCTCTCAACCAATGTCTGAACCATTGGAGGAGCGTTTGGGTCATTTAGAGCGAGCTTTGCCAGCCCAGTAACTAGGATATCATTAGGAAAGTTTGTTCGATTGCGGATGGCTGCAATGTGACCCGAGAGATAGGAATGGAGACAGGAAGCAAGAGCACAAACTCGTCGTATTGTTTGGGGACTGGGCGAAGTATGAGATGTGATGAGATTCATGGAGATTTCCAGGATTCCCGCTGAAAGTATTTTAAGACAGTGAGAGCAGACTACACCCACAGAATGGCTGTCACTGTAGACGGGACCATCGGTAGGGGCGGGTGCTACAAGGGTTTGTGTAGAACTGGTTCCTGTGCTAAAAGTGTCAGGACCTGGGCTTAAGAAGGATTGATCTTCAAACACCACCAGGGAGGCTGTCTGTCCAGGTTGACGAACCTGGTATCTTTGACGTCGGATCACGGATGAGGTGTCTGCGGAGCGGCAGGACTTCGACGCATTCGGAATATCTTGGAGTGAGGAGCTGAAAGATTAAACCCTGCACATAAATTGACCTTCCTTATACTTAATCTTTCTTTAGGTAAAGGATATGCAAGGGACCCTTGCAATTATATCAACTTCCGTCACAATTAGTGATATATTGACGTAAAGATGTGTGAAATGCCACGTATAACAATTATTCATAGAGTACTTGCAGTAATTAGAGGATTGATTGCGCCATAACTTCTACATTAAATGTGGAGGTGCCAAATTTTAATTACCTTGAGGAGTTATGCAGCTTCATTGCTAGACGTTACATACTGAAGTACAACTTACCCTCCCTTTGAAGGTTGGCGGTTGGAGGGTGTGGGAGCTGTAAAAAAGAATAGACAAACTATGAATTGCACGAATACACTATTGGCTGTGTATTTTGTCACATTGCCATTGTCATTTTATCTAGTATGACACCTTTTTCACCTCTGCAACACTTACGATTGAGTGGACAGGGCGGAGGGCTGCACAAGTAACTGCACAATGAAGCATAGTTTAGGATGCTCGAATTGAGAGGTTTTAGTGATTACCTTGGGAAAAAGAAAGCTCCACTTCAATGCCTCCTAAGCGCAATCGTTCGGAGAGCATCTTCAGCGTTTCTTTTAAATTAGAGCAGCTATCTGTCAGTACCGAATTCACCGCCTCCTGGGAAATGAGCTAAGAAAGGAATGGATCACCATCACCGTGCAATCAAAAGACATTCATTTCCATCTAATTCAGCCAAAAACGCAAAAGTTAAATGACAACTTTAAAATAAACGACAATAGCGATCATGGAAACGATTACTCACTATTTTGCTGAGAGATTGAAAATTTTTAAGTATGGTCTCCGCTTCACTCATCGACTTGGCTGTTTTCTCTGGCGGATCCTTGGCATAACCATTTACGACCGCTTTCTAAAAACGGAAGAAAATTTAAAACTCTAAATCTCTGTTACTAGTACTCTACCTGCGTGGACCATTCAACGCCTACCACCAATTCAGTAAGCATGAGTGTAGCTTTTTAGGAGGCAGAGTAACCAAATGTCATGAGACCGAGGCTTTTCAGGACTTCTGGACATTTATTTGTTAATTCATGGTAAGGTCAATGCACCTTCAGCGGATATCCTTGTTGAGGCTGCTGGTGCTCCTCTTTCTCGCAATCAAAAAGGATGGGATGTATTTTGGATAGTGTGTCGTTCACCTCATCGAGACAGCCTTTCTGACAGCACCTGACATCTTCGACTGGTGAGGCTTCAATAGGTGATTTAAGCAGTGGAGAATCAATTAACTTGAGGGGAGGGCAAGAGAAGGTGACCCTATCCTCCGACTGCTTGGACTCTGTTAGTTGGACCACTTGGGACGAAGGCGAGGACATGGTGAGTTGATCTAGACTGCTGTGATTACTGCCACCGTTACCACTTCTCTCGTCTGCCTTGGCAACCACAGATGGGATTTCTTGACGTTCTTGAAGTGTGTCAATCAATTCGCGAAGTTCTGCTGACATCACTTCCGTATCCATCGCCTCGTTTATCACTTCCATCCATTCCCGACGCTTGATGGCGGTTGAAAAACCCAGCAGACTCACTTCTCCGGGAACTATCTAAAAGCCATTGAAATTGATGATTGGATGTCCCTTTTTAAGGATATTCAGGCTGCTCTATCATTCAAAATAATAGGCACATAGGAATTATAAGTGCATCTTATTAGATTTATTGTGAATGCTGCAAAATAAGTTTATTCCTGCCTATCTAATAGCAATTTACCAATCACTTTTTTAATTCAATCAAACCGCGGTAAACGTGCCATGATCCAAAAAGGAATTTGAGGTCACTTGAGGGCTAGTGGTGTTTACATTCAATTGCGATGGACGCACCATCAACATGATCCCGAAGAAGTCCGGATACTGATTAGTGGGCTGGACAGCAAAACATTGTTGGAGATCGAAAAACCTCAAGGGTTTGGTCCTATTAAAACTGGACTCCTCCTCGTTGGAGTATATTAATAGTAACTGGGGTTGCAGCACACCATAGGTCCTTTGCACCACAGTCTACATTAAGGAGGTCACAATTACTAGCGCAAATACAAACAGATGGGCACACTTCACAATTTGACTGGTATCACCGATGCAAGAGGGAAAAGATAAAAAGAATGGAATAAGCAAGAGGGGGAGGGAGATAGGGGTCACATACAGCGTCCTTGTCAAGAGCCCAGAGGAGAGGCCCTTCCTTGATCGCCATCATTGCCTTGTTGTTCGTGTAGGTCTGTCTATTCGAAGCGCACACACACAAAAGTGGCAAGTGGTGCAGTAAGGGCGAGCATGCGTGCGTGTGTGTGGGTTTGGTGATGAAGTCGTGCTCCTCTGAGGCAATTGGCTCTGCGGTGTATTTGCCGGAGGCAACACGCATGCACGTAGGAAACTGTGTGTGTGTGAATGAGCATCATCCTCAATACCACCATTGCCACTGCCACCGCCACTGCCATTTCTTGGCACTCAGTGTCAGTGTCTGCTCTATGCAGCCGTGCGCAGACCCATTTATATCCCTTTTAAAAGACAATGGGAGTACGCGATCAATCTACGGTGATTTTTTTCAAGCTACGTCCTCGATATAATTCAAGTATCCGTTCTGTGACCATAGCAACCGATCACCAGGTTAGAATGAGGTATCTATGCTTCATTTCTTCTTATACAAAGTACTTCAATTATTAATTGGCAAATTTGTCTTTGGCTCACGGGTTGGATGATCGAAATCTCATAAGTCAAAGGGGTTACCAGTGTCTAATGCTATTTTTCTATTTCTATGCTATTCAACTAATTTAACACCAATTATTTCGTCCCATATCAAGCATCCCAGGACAGCGAAATAAAAAGTACCATTTTTAGCTGTAAAACAATACTCAAGCTACTTTTTTGTGAGGCCTCCTCCAAGATGCCATTTTATGATCCGAGGGAAGTAGGTTTGAAGTCGTCACGATCTTCATCGCACTTGCATTACTGCTCTTTTTTTACCCAGTAAAGTAGCGTGCTTCATCCTTGGCTCCGAGCCGAGGAGGCAAAACCTCTGAACTGGGACAACTTTGTTACGGTTTTGCAAGATGGTTTAGCCTCTGTCACAAGCTTTGATGATTTTTTGTTAAGTAGACGAAATCCTAAAATACTCCAATAACCCCCACAATTTGCATAACTTTCTCCTACAACTTCGAAGTGATTGCATTCAATTTGCAGAGGTGAAAAATTGCTGCACTCAGCATCACCGGCCAGTTTCGCGATTTTCATATACCCAGCCAACTACATTTATCACACGATTAATAATCTTGACAGTGACAACTTTTAGCATATCAGGGACCACTTCACAATTCGTGTTGCACTCACGGTAAAATGTCAGGGTGATTGCTAAATTAATTGAATTAACACAATAATTATTTTCCAGCGATTTTATCCAATGGTGTGTTTTAGTGGGAAAAACCATACTTCCCGCCACACCTATACGTTACAACCTTTAAAAGCTCGTAGTCTTATCAACTGGAATGGATAACAGCAATCCTGTCGCCAAGTGATCGCTTTCAATATGGGTATTGAACTCTCAATGACAGGTGGGAAAACTAATCGGAGTCAGCTTTCACTAGGAGAACTCAAGTAAAACTGGGTTTGGGGAGGATTAGCGGTAAGGCACTATAGCATCCTTTGTAGTAGCTTGCTTTGTACACCCACCATGTGATCACTACAGTGGTGTGGGGTATTCACCCGGTCTCTGCTGCTTACAGCATGCGGCTTGATGATTTGATGCTGGCTTGAAGCGGCGGTTTAAAAGTCACGTCTTGTATTTCCTTGTGTCAATTAAAGATGTTTCCCTAAGATGCCCTCGTAGTTCGGTCTCCAAAGTGTGGGAGATGCTACATAAGATTCACTTTCATCGAATAGGTTTAAACGAAAATTGCGATTAAGGTGCCACCGAAAAATACCATCAAATGTCTAAACAATCAGAGATGTCCAAATCAAGAGGTAATCAATCTGATGATACCTTCCTTTTCATTACGTTCAAGAAGCCTTATGGAACCATGACAGGCGGGATGCGCCTTAAATAATCCAAACTCATTATTGATAAGAAATGGGTTATTTTTTAAGACGAATAGTGTTTGCTTAAATCGCGGTTTTGGTGACGGCCTCCTGGAGCTCCACAATTGCACATCCAAGCAATGTCAGTAGCTCCCCGTACTTCCGTGCATCGGCAATGAGCATTCCTCGCATATACTGTCATCATTCCTCCTTAAGCAAATTATGGGATGCTACATTATAATAAAGTTGTGGATTTCTTCGTCGATTTTCCTTCAGATCAGCCATTGCGCATCACTGTAGGGAGCATTAAACTTCGAATGCTCTGCTTATAGAAGGCCTTTTTGGTACAACAAACAAAAGGGACGAAGTTAAAATCTAAGATGCTTCAGAGGGTCTATCATAGAGAACAGCCGTGCAAAGGATTCGCGGAATCAAGGTATAGTTGATTTGTTTTCATTAAGTGGGTTATATATGACTTTAATGCACCAGCACCATTGGAATCCGAAATTCCCTACCAAATTGCAAGGGTGCTTTAAGTGGTTCTTTACAGTAGGCGCACGTTGGAGAGTCTAAATGAAACTTGTGGACTCAAAGGTCGTAGGTTTATAATTCGACCACATTTGTTTGAAATAGAATGCTAGGCTAAACTGCAAAAATTTGAAAAGAATGAAGAAGAATATTGTAGCGTCCCGAGACTCCCTGAAGACGAAAGAAGACAGAGTACTCGGGCAGAATATGTATTCAGTGCAGAGAAGGTGTCTGGGCTAGTGGCATGGCCCGAAAGGCCAGTCCACCCAGCGAGGTATAAGGGGGCTAATTCAAAGCACAAAAGTGGCGCCTCACCAGAACCGAGGGATAGACCACTATCGTATTGCAATATGCATGCGCTTTTCCAACATTTTTCTTTGACTTCCAAAGAGGCTTAAAAAGCATAAACAGATCATTAATCCTAAAAAAATTGTGGATGCAATTAGTATTAGTCAAGAATCAAACGTCATTTATAATTGATGATTTCGCATTCGCAGAGTTAGGTTTGGTACATTATACCGTTAAGTAAACTCCCAAAACATAATCGATAAATTTATACAAAACAGTTCCATTAAAGTCAAAATTTTGGTAAATGAAGATAATTATGATATGTCGCCCTAATACACATTTCTCTAAACCCCAACATTGGCGCGCTTTCTCGATGTCAGGTCGGCGTGTGGTTTGTTTGTGCTGACGCGTGTAGGCCACACCGTTACATTGTTCAGTGCTTGTACCATGCGCAACATGCTATCCTTTTTTGGTATATGACAATTATGCTGATTTGTCATTTTGAAGTGGTTGTTTAGAGTGTAATCAACTTCTTAACTCCCAACTTCCCTGCGCTTCTTTTGTTCGTTTTTTACTCTATGGTCGTCTTCTAACACTAGGTCATTTTGGTTCATAAATCTGCGTAGATATTTGTAGGACCATCGTGAGATAAATATCGTGTCCACACAGTTCGTAAAATCTTGGTTTATTTACTGACGGCGATATCTTATAATGCTCGATTAGTCTCCTTTATGATGCGCCACTAGTGTTGGCTTAAACCCTTCAGTTTTACTAATTGGTACATCGTTTCTAACCTTGATATACTGTTTCGCATTCTGTGTCTATCTTCCATTGCTGTTTTTTCCATGTACTTCTCCATTATACGGAAGTGTTTTACTGCAGTTCAAAGCTTATCACTTTGCAGATCACAGGTGAATAAATCTGTGTGCATACTTCGTCATCCTCTCCACACAGCTCTGCCTTCAAGCCTTTCGACTTAAAGTACTTTTAAGAAATAATGTGCAAAGTGGAGGGTTAGTATTTGTGCCAAATGATGAATAGATGCTCAGTAGAATTCGGGGCCCTATTCCATGGGGCCGGGTGATATGATGAAAAATGGGAGACGCTTTATACTGATGCGGTCTATCTCAATTGTAACAAAGTATTGGATCATCTCATACTGACTTTAACTCTTTTACTTTTAAATGACTGAGAGTCCAAATTTGTGTTTACCTACTTTCAGCTGGACCAATCCACCTTTATTAACAGCATCCCATTTACCGTAAGCACTTCAGTAGGTAATTTAAGTGTATATTCGTGACGTCTCCCCTAATTAAACATCACGACCGTATTGCTCACAAATCCGTGTTGTGGCGTTGTTATTATTCCTCTTCGTTGCATTACTGTTTACTTTGATGCACTACATAGTTATTATTGTGTTTATAATGCAAATTTTGGCTTTCTACACATTTTACAATCAAATTGGCATTTTCAAATCTGTTGGTTCTTCATTATCAAGTCCATACCGGTTTTTGAATCTAAGTTCCCTGCTAAATTCGTCACTATTTTATTAGTTAGAGGCGGAAATAGGTCATTTACGGCGGCAATCCTTTATTGTAAATAAACCCTTTCTGTTTTATAAACCAGCGTATGCGTAAAGCATCGTTTGCCGAATCCTGTAGCCTAGAATTCCAAATCCTATTTTATTTTGTTCGTTTTCAGTGTGTGATAATGAACTCCGTAATGCAAGGGTGGTTTTCCGAAGTGTCTTCTGATTTCCCCGGTCAGGCCTTCAGCCTGCAGATTAATGAGGTTTTGTTCGAGGGCAAATCCGAGTTTCAGGATATCCTCATCTTCAAAAGGTTCATTTCCCACTCATTATTGCTGCTAAAGTTGAATAAGTAGGACTAATTGTCACCACTTTACTTTTAGTGCCACCTTCGGACGCGTCCTGGTACTTGACGGACGTATACAGCTGACCGAAAAGGATGAGGCTTTTTACCAAGAAATGATTGCCCACATTCCCCTGAGTGTGCATCCCAACCCACGCCGCGTCCTAATCATCGGTGGTGGCGATGGTGGCGTCGCAAGGGAGGTCATCCGACATCAATGCGTAGAACACGTTGACCTTGTAGAGATCGATGATATGGTGCTCAAACTGTCTTGCAAGTATCTCCCCTTTACTGCATCGAGTTTAGACCACCCCAAGGTCTCCGTTCATGTTGCTGATGGTTTCGCTTTCCTGAAGGAACATGCGGCCAAGGGAGAGAAGTATGATGTTATTATTACGGATTCCACCGACCCCGGCGGTAGGTAGTTGTCTTGTTTTAGTTAGTTTTATACATTATCAGTGTTAAAGCTTGTTTTAAAATGTCATTCCAGTTATCCGGGTCGGCCACTTTTTAATAAGTCTTCTATCAATCTTAAAAGTCCTATCTCACCAGACTGGAAAACATTTTAGGATTTTTCCAGCATTTATTCAATAGTAATGCTTTAAGAGAATATTTGTATGACAGTTGCCCATGCTTTTTCGCTTCAAATTCAACTGATTGAGTTGCTGTAAAGCCCCGTCTCCTTGTTTCGCTGCCCGCGTAATGTCTTATTAACGCCCATCGTACGGTTTCCTGTAGTGTTAATGAGGCGGCACTTACACGAACCTGACTTATTTCATGGCTTTGCTAGATACATATTTATCGAATCTCTTTTCCTAAATCACATAGAAGTAATTTCATTATACTCCTAAGACTATCTGATTTTAAACACAAAGGACCCGACGTCATTTAAAAGGACTACATTTGGAGAATTACCGCGGTTTAATCCGCCTTTACGTCGTGTGTCGGATTCAAAACTTTGTTGCTGGCCTCACAAAAGACGATAAGCTTTAATTAAAACCTTGACATCCAATGTTTCGTAGTGTTCATAGAACACTAAGAGCGTTTGACTATAACTTAATGTGTGCTTTCTCGGGAGTATGGAGATCATTAACCTGGCAGGTCTGACCCTATCGTAATGGTTATGTGGTCAGCGTGCGGCTGGATTTCTTTGTATTGCCATAACTGACAACTTTTGTGCACGATTGCGTTATTGTTCAGTAATCACCATTATCTTCTGAGCCATCGCGATGAACTTCACAATCCTCAGGCACTTGGGGAGCGACACGAAGTTAATTTCACAATCTGATGATGGGAACATAAATGTACCGAAAAATAACGATAGCAACGGGTCCTGGATTACACGTCTCCTTAATAGACAATTCTCTTCCCACCCGTTTTTACTGAGTAGAAAGTTAATGCGACGTGGGCTTCGTCAACTTTTTGAATTTTAATTTTTATTATATTTCGGGGACCGCTATTTGCTTTTTTCCCATCTCAAAGAGAAGTCTGACATCTTTCGAAGATAAATATTTACCGTAGAGCTCTTGTGATGGTCCAACTGCCACGGAGTTTCGAAATTATGGGAATTCGTGTTTGTTTACCAGTGTTGTAAAATTACAAATAACTGAAGTGTATTAATAGCCCCTATCCGTACTGAGGTATAAAAGCTGGAAGACTGAAGATGTTGATGGAAAACTTGATTAGGAGAAGTAGGCTAGATGTTGGTTCGGCTTTTTATAGCACAGTCCTTCTTGTTTTTTTGATATTTTGCTAAAATGGGTTTGGCGGGAAAAAAGTGGCGGTAATAGGTGTCAACCTAAAAAATCAGAGCTGGTCAATTCGCCTTTGAGATCCTGATGCTGAATGCGTTGTCAGATGAATTGATGGGTTCCTCTTGTTTTCCAACAGGTCCTTCTACTCCACTCTTCAACAAGGAGTACTTCCAACTGCTGAGTCAAGCGCTTACGGACGATGGAATCATTTGCAATCAGGGTGAGTTTGTAACCGCCATCCGTCAACATGTTTAAAAACGAAGTTGCATATGCCCTTCTTCCGTCGTTTCTTCAAAACCGTTTTTGGATTTCGAGCGGACCATTATGCAAGCGATCTGCCAGATTTTTTAATATGAAATTGCTTCTTTTACATTTGGTACGAAGAGAGTAAACAGGAGCGTTTGTTACTTTAAGTAGTTGGCCAAAGAGATGTGTTTTGATTAATCAAATTTTGGAGTCTTCCTTTCGACCATGCGCAGTTGCTTGCCATTTAAATAGCATGAAAGGCAGCATGCATCCCGCCTTTTCACAGTTTCTCCTGAATTTTGATAGGTGCGACAAATGGTCCCTTGAATACTTGAAAATGTAGCTAATATTGCCTACAATCATATTTAGCTGACTTTTTGAGGGGTGGATAATATTTTCTTCTCCAATCGTCTATTTGTCCAAAATCCCATCCTAAACCTGTTGACGTTTTTGAGCAAAGCGCTTCCACTCTTCGTGATACATCAAAAGTGTTTTCTCGTTCATTGTTCCCAGGCGTTTGGTGATATGCGGATGCCACATGCGTCCGAGCTGGGGTGTGAGTTGTGACCCGACTATTTTTGCACATCGATTTCATTCTTTTACCACATTGAGTGTTTGAATCCAAAGTATTTCCAAGTCATTTGGGATTTAACATCAGTAGTCTAATTCTTTCTAAGGTGCGACTGTTTCCGAAACTGGTGAAAAATAGGCTTTAGCTAAGAAATACAAGAGAAGTGATGAAGTCAACTTTGCCATAAGGGGTACTGTCGCGGCGGTACTGCGTGCGGTGGCAAGTGGGGAATGTGTCCACTCCAGTCCAGACGTCGCTAATCAATATGACAAGCACTGGTGGTAGCGACTACATGTGTGCAGGCATGCAACATCCTATGGTGTAGGACCAAGTGCCTTGTCAATGTTGACGCAAAATCGGAATTCACGTCTACAGAAGGTTTCAAGTACAGTACATTACGATGATGGGACGCTCAGTCACTGGGTAGCAGGATGCTGGGATTGCACTAACATTTCAAATATAGTCGGGGCGTGGTGACGTTGGTTCTCAGCATTGAGCACGATCATTCGCGTCACCGCCTGGAATACCTGGACTTAAAGGTCTGATTGCTGTGGTAGCGGTCGTCGTAAAGTCGCACAATGGACGAATCTTTCGGTGGGAAGGCTGAACACAGTGTAGTCATTAATGAAGACAAATGTGTGCGAATTCGAAAAGCTATTGCACACTTGGTACAAGGGCAGACGCATTGACAAATCTTTCTGTGCCGAAGCTGGTTGTAAGGTTGCTAAATGCTGAAGTACTTTTATGTACAAGTGGAGGAGGGGGTTATTTTGGAAACAAAGGGACTTCCCAGTCCTTTTGGTGTTGTTTTTGTGAAAATTCGAAAGCCTCAGCTTGATTTGAATATTTCCTTAGTTGCGTCAGTCATTTCCCTGACGCCGGTTGCATTGTTATGCTATTTTTAAATGGACCTGAACTAATTATTTTGCCACCCAGAGTTGCCAAATCGTTGGTTCAGCAGGTCTGGAGATTTCGTGTGTGCGAATTATATGCGGCACTTTGAGCCATATGTTTCAATTCCCATTCGACTTTGTTTTTTCTTCCTAATTTGCTTTGATCTTCTGAGCCTCCGTGATGAGAAGTCTGCCTCATAAAGACGTCTAAACGGGGTTTTTTCCTCCCGTTCAGTCAATATTTTGGCGGTAGTAACATCGAACGCCCTGGTGATTGTTTCTAGGCTGTAGCTATGCCTTTTAATTCCATAACATAACTTGCTTCATGTGGCTCATACTTGCTCCAACTAGGTGAATGTCTGTTTCTGGATCTGTCCACTATTAAGGGAATGGCCGGTTTCTGCAGGGACGTGTTCCCGAATGTGAGGTATGCCTACAACATCATTCCAACCTACACTTGCGGTCATATTGGCTATATTATCGCGTGCAAAAATGCGGTAAGCAATTGGAACCGTATTTTCCGTTGTCTGAATTCAGAGGGAACATATTCAGGTACGAGTTTATCGCTGCTTTGTGAATGTAGAACATTGATCTTTGCGAAGCGGGTCGCGAGCCGCCGGTTGACTGCAAATTCTACACCAAGGCGGTGCATAGAGCTGCTTTTGCATTGCCAAAGTGCTATGAGGATGTGAGTTCTTCTTTCCTGTTACTATCAACTTTCATTTTGGGTAAGAAAAATGTAGTTCAACAAGTACTTGAGTCCTGGTGCACCTTTTAATTCGCCTTGCATTCGCTTGCCCATTTTATTAAAAAGTCAACGAAAATATCCATCCATCTAACAATAGATGCAAGCCCTTGACCATACCTTCACCTATGCGTCTACCATTAAACGAAATCCTGGGAATTTAGCCGAAATTACTCAGCGCACCTTTTCATTCACTCTTTACCTCTTCTCCAATGCCAACCTACGTTTAAAAATCAGGCACTCTATTCTAACCCTCTCCACTCGCTTGCACACCATTCCCTTCTATAATTTCATTGAATCCTGCGCTGCCACACTGGCAACGCATTCTTTTTCATTTAATTTTATTTTAATTCACTCTATTTCTTGCTAACATTACATTTGAGTGCATCTTCTTCGGTCATGCGACTCAATTCAATATCCTTCAGTCATCGTTCCCTCACTGACTGGTCTGGATCGTATTGGATTGGAGGTTGCTTGCCACCTCATAGTCCATCTGTTCGCTTTCAACGTTACACAGGAACCTAGTTCATTCATCCCACGTTCATCCAGTTGTCTATCCTTTATTTCATGCTAAATTTTTTTATCCAGACGAGTTCCGTCCCTCAGTTGATTGAGTACTTCTCAGTGTGTACATTCCATGCTGGATATTTTATAAGCTAGATCCAACTTCTTCCCGTTCATCTCAGTCTCAGCGTCTCATTTGGGGCTCTTTCAACTTTTCATAGTCCTGTATTCACGCTTCTAGCCTCCCTTGGAATTGAGGTGATTCACTCTTGGCTCCCTACATCTTTTCCGATTCGATGATTTAGGATGAAATACTGAAGTCTATTTGGATTCGTTGTTCCAGCATTTCCTGGCTCATCTCCATAAGCCGGATTAAAATCAAATTGCTGTAAAGATATATCGTGGTTTATAGTGTTCAAGAAGACAACTATCTGGTAGTAGGTGGACAAAGTCTCCATGAGATACTGTCCTATTAATCTCTCGACTTTCTATCAATGCGATGTCATCAAGAATAACTGCGAACTGATTAGTTGAATGCAAGTTGATGATGCCGTGCGTCTCCTTTCGTCTCTTCTCCATTCGTCTATCATCCCATCATTCCCTCCCACCCACCTCTACTTCGCTTTCGCTGGCCTACCACTGCGTTTTATTCTCTTTCAAGGAAGGCGGTTCGACTAATAAGTCGGTTTCATATTGGGTATTTGGTCCAACGTCAATTTAATCCTTCTACTTTTTATTTACCGGGCAAACTTCGGTATTCTTTTCAAAAACTCTTCCTTCTATCCACTTACTATAGAAACACTACTGCTTTTATTTATGCGTTGGCTGAGTGTCCTTTAGGGACATGTTTTTCTGTTTAACCCAAAATCTTTTGTTTTTGGTATGCCTGATTCAGGACCACTAGCCTTTGATGAATAGAGGCTACTGATTAAGATGATCTCCCGGAATTATATCCACTGTTTTCTTTTTTGTACGAGTTGACTTGCTCCACTTATTCCCTACTTCGCTCTGTTTAGGCTCTTCGTCCGTTTCTGAACGCGTAAGATGCGACAATCGAATCGCTCACCCATTCCTTGGGAGGAACTGATGACTTTTGTGTGATTATTATGCTACTTTTGTAGAAGAAATTCTCGATCCATTATGCATATTTTTCATCGAACGGGAACGTCAAACTCGTGCTGGTGTTATGGGAAATGGGGTGGTTCTTCGTTTGTTATAGGTCACTTGCCTACATCTTTTTTAAGGAAGAGCGTGATTAAAACCCATTCTATTTATGAAAGGTACTAATTTCCCCACAGATCTTTTCTGTTTTGCGAAAATGTGAGAGCCAAATGGCGTTGAAATGGCCGTTTTCACCTTTCACTGGGCTCTGGGTATTTAGTGACCCAGGGTCTATCTTCTTACCTCCCCCCCTATGCAGTTTGAAGTCATGACCTTTTAGTCACAACCCTGGCAAATGCTGTTGAAATTTTTTTTTTTTCATTTGGGTTAAGGCAACCACCCACGAGCCTAGCAGGAGCAGCAGTAGCAGTCGTGACCAAACGCTTTTGGCTGACATTTAAAATTCACTGGGTGAGAGTTGCACCACTCTCATTGGTGCTGGCAGTGGTGAGTCTTTTGGTAATCTAGTAAGTAATCCTGCCACCTATTATTGCAAGTAGTGCATTAGTTACCCAACAAGCTTGTAACGACGCCTCGGTAGACATCCAGCCGGAATTGTAAGTACATAAAGGGGGGGGGGCGGGGGAACAATGCTCAGCAGCTGAAATGTGCTCCTACATAGCGAATAAGGTCAATTACGCAGAACAGTCTCGATTGCTTGCCCAGTGCCTGCATTTAGTCTCACTGTTGCTATCCATGGATTAGGACCATCTTAATGCTAAACTCTGTGAGGCTGTGCTGAATTCTAGTTAACGAGGTTGGTTTATTCGTGGTTTTCATTTCAATCAAGAGATTACCAGCAACACAATGGCATTCCCTAGAATTAGAGTAAGCAGATCATTTAAAGTGATTCACTTTAAAGTTTTAGCATCGTCGGGCTGTCTCAGGATTCAGCACTGAGTTGCGACTCCCAAGTTACTTCTATAGACGCTATCATGGAAGACGTCTGACATTAACCGTCATTAGACGGGCTGATGGACTGTTGACAATAATGACATGAGTGCAATCCCTTGGCGTCATGGTAGTGGCCAAAAGTCGTAGAAATTGAAGGGACCGTTTGAATAAGTAAAAATTCTGAAAATTGTTTTCTCTCATATCGCACTTATCAAAGCAGACTTTGATATCTCGCTCGCCTCCGGTTTCTCATCTGGTTCATTTACACGATACACGTCTCATCTTCCATTCAAAATTATGTCGTGTTAGAGGATTACCGTCACTATCTTGGCGTCATGACATTCTGTTCATGCCATTTCTGTGCAAAATCGTCAGCTATGCCGTACAGCTATAGTCAAGTTCGGCGGAAGAGCTTCAAAGCCCTCGCTTGTGTAATCGTGCTTGAGTGATCGTTGGAAGCGTGTCCTATTCAGAAGCACCATTGCTCCTTTTCTACTGGAAGTTGGTAGTGATTAAGTTACTTAAAAATTAACGGGGTTGCTAAAAAATAAGCCTGCCAGTGGTCAGGAATCATAATTAAGTATTTGAGAGAGGAGTGACAAACCATCATTTAAGTCGGGCATTACATTTTCCAAGGAATCCGTTTCCTTATTTGGAAGCAATTCGTTTTCTTTTCTTGGAACCGTTACCTCACGAAATAGATGCGGAACCTATTTTCACTTCCGGCTTAATTGGTGCTGCAACCTCGTAGGATCCTATGTTCAGAAATGTGACTTATCGCAATAATTTACAATTGACGGAGCATAAAGTTATGACAAAGTGTTTTTGTCCTCCCTTGAGATGAATAAGAGTACAACCCTCAAAGCTACTGCAAATTCCATTCAATTCAGTTTATTTCCACATACTTAAAAATCCATCATGCCAGTCGACTCCCTGCCCACATCGGTACGTGCTAGTAACTCGACAGTTTAAAACCATTCATTTACTTTATTTTTCTAAGATGACAGCAATTACCAAGGTTTTTCCATTTTTATGCTATAATGAACTAGGAAAGAGCGTACGTCACATATGTGTGACGCTGGACTCGAGTGAAACAATCATGATAATACATATTTGCAGTGCTCGTAGTGAATGTGCTAATTTTGCACTTCTAATAACGTGGTAATTCTTTAATAAAATATAAATGCGTGGATTTTGGACGGAGGTTGCTTCGGTGATTTTGGACAGAGAACGAACCGCGAAGTTTCCCGTCTTGAAACGGGAAATTTAATCATGAAAAACGGCATATTAGAAATCACTTGATGTAGCGATGATTTTGCACTTCCCATGCCTGACTGTCAGTAAAAAAGGTTGGAATTAAAGCAGCGGTGAAGGGCGATTACTCGTCTCTGCTCCCTATTTTTATGTCCTATTTGGGGTTCATGTCCAACGGTCGTCCTGGATGTTGCGTGGGAAGGCCAAACCATCTAATGGCCTCACCACAACCATTCAAACTAACGTTGCAAGATGATAGAAGTGTTAAGGTACAGCATTCAGTGGACAATCCCTAACAGACCCCTACGTACCTTCGTCGTAGCGCTTAGTGAATGGCTTGGCCGATCTACCAAGTGGTGAAAAAGTCCCATTTGGTTCTTGGTGTGTCTCGCTGCAATAAACTGATGCGGTATGCAGAGACTTGCAAAGCGGGGACAAGCATATCCGTCTGTCAGTAGCCTTGATTGGCTTCTAATCAAATTTTCCCCTTATTTTGGAGTCTGTCTGCTTCACTAGTCGCGTTGTACTCGATTCCAAAGCTTCAGAACCTTCTTGTAGCATTTTTGGGTAGCCTTTGGAGATGGTTCGGTGTGTGGCAACGGACCGTACCACCTAGAAATGGTTTGTAAGCCTTGTGAAGTAACCTACAACCGTATTTGGTTACCTTATACTTTACAAGGACAGTATTATTCACCACGGGACATAAATGGGCTAAATTCTCGGGCTACCTTCTGTTTCACTCAAACAAATCTAGGATTGAATCCTTGAAAGGTAATTTTACTTACAAACATGGTTGCCTGTTCCTCTAACTTATACAGAAGAAGTTTAAATCAAACTGACATCTTCGAATTTATAAAAGGTTGGAAAGACTACATTTTGGGGACTGGAGCTTGCACTTCTTTTCCTCCACAAGGTCTCCTCCTGTTATATCTTCACGTACGTGCATACCAATGCCGATCAAATAATGTCCCCAAAAATAGCTTCGGCACAGAAAGATTTATTCTCTGTACTTAAAAGTGTCCTGGTGTCAAATTTATGAAATTGGGTGTGTTCCTCCTCATGAATAATTGTACCGTGTTCAGGGTTCTTAAAGAAAAGCTAGTCTATTGTACGCTTTCACAACAGACCGTCTTTGAGGCGCTGACAACACTTAAATGTCGCATTTCTGACTGGCTGAGTGTCCCATCACCGTAACGCGCTGTGCTTGAAGTTTTCTGTTGATGAGAGTCTGATGTCAGTGACGAAATGAAACTTGTTTTAACGCCGTCTGTCCCCAGGCATGCAACCACCACCACTGTTGCCTGCCCGTATTAACCAACAGTGTCCAGCCCGCGTGACACGTGCACCAGGCCACATTAACCCCTTACTTCTGCATGCATTGCGACCTTCTTGTAGATCTTTGATTTGGACGCCCTTTATATTTACCAAAATGGATTTCTGCAACGGACAATATTCTTGCGTTTTCTAGTAAACTTAGAGATGGATTATCATTTATAACTGGACCGAAGAGAGGAGAGAGTAGACGGCTGTTTTTCCGTACCACTTATTTTAAAAATATTTATCGGGTACTTTTGAATATTTGTGAATATTCTCTCCCTGCTTTACCAGGAAGCGTTTTCATCAAAGTAATATCAAAAAGTGGACAAAGCAAGAGCCAGAATAGGCATGGAAGGGGAGCCCTTTCTGACTGAGGAAATGGGACTAGAAAAAAGTCATTGTAGCATTGGAGGGAGAGATGGCTTCTGCGTTCATTCGATAGACACGGGGCTCACAGTTCCATCAATATCCATCCACACGTCGAGATCACAATCGGCGGAAGGCAACGCACTGGTGGAAGGACTCATCTGGTGGACTTTTTTACAAAGGAAGATTGGGCTATCCTCCGTAGAGGGTAGGCAGTGAGGTGCATAGGCAGCGCCACGACAAAATGCCAGAGACTTGGTGAGTCGGCATAACTTTCTTTTTTTACGCCGTTGCTTGAATCGTCGTCGCACCCACATATTCCAGAAACGGCCGCACGACTCAAGGAGTTCAAATATCACGAGGCAAGAGAAACCGAAGAAAAATGAACTCAACCCACCAACCTCGGAGAAGAGCTTTGCCAGCCCGAACAGCTCTTCCTCTGTCTTCTGGGTAATGGCATCATCCTGTACGAAGTTCACTTCGATACTGTCTAGACTGGTGGCGTTAGAAAAGCGCACCTCATTATGCTTCTGATACGTCGCTGTGTTACAGGCGTAGGGGCAGACGTTTGTATCCACCAGCATTATCTGCTGCTCGTAGAAACAGCTGTGGACGCAATGCTCTTCTATTTCCGGATAGAATGTCCGGAAGTCCTTCGGCCCGTTTTTATTTCTTCGACCCCATGCCCGTAGTATTTCCAACGGACAGTAGCAATGGCACTCATTGTGAAGGTATTCACACGTCTTTTTCCACTGGCAAGCAGCCTAAAATGTTGCCACATACTTCACCTTTAATTATTTTTCATTGTACTGTAGCGGAAAGACATTTATCTTAGTTATAGGCACGATTACACGAATGGGTTACTTCTAGCGTCGTACGGCTCATAAATTACTTGGAGGTGATTCGTGCCCTACATTTATGGGATTTAATCTCCCCGCGAAGTATAGGACCACTGCCTGACATTTCAGAGGAAGTTTGCTTTAAAATAGGTCGTTTGATTGCTGCTGGGAGAATATTTGCCATAGATTGCGAAGGCAAAGGGCTAAATGCGTGAAGTAGCGAGTGATAGAATGAGAATTGCTCGGAAAGAGTCTTTCACAAAAGGATGTGTCTGCAACATCCCAACAAAAACAGAATGGTAAGTGAAATCTAGGGAAGGGACATTGCTCTGTGTTTCAAGGACCTAATGCTTGCCCAAGTGGACTATAAAGCCATAGTGGAATGGAATTAAAAAGAAAAGTAGTAATGGACTTGAATTTTCCTTTTGAGAATATTTAATGAACGGTGGTTGACATGCAAAATGAGCCCGATGGAGAGCCCTGATCATTTTGATTTAATATTGCTTTAACAAATCTCTCCAAAACAGTTTACTAAGAAAGGATGTAACCAGTGAGTTACACAACCACCTTTAAGCCCTCTTACTGTTGTCAGTTCAGCAATTCCTCCTGAAGTGATGAAAGTTTCGCCTGTAATGCCGATGTTCTAAACAAGGCTTAGGTTGTACAGTATTCGTCATCAGAGTGGCAATAAGCGTTGGATTACGTTCAAAACTTGTGCAATTCATGCTAGAGAAGCCGATAATTCATGACCACTGGGATTTGTTCAATCGGTTATAACTATTGCCTGAACCCGAACCGGAGTCCGCCTCAAATCACGGTACGTGAATTCAGCGTTCACAAAGTGTCAACCCCTTTATTGCTTTGCGAAGCGATTTGGCACTTTGAAAAGCATTGTCTTCGAAGCAGAAATCAGCAGTACACTTTTTTAACCTCGATTTAAATTATTTTTTCAGTTACTAAGCAGTGAATAGCAAAAGTTATGCTGTGAATCGTTCTTCAAAAAACTCACTATGCAAGTGCCTTAGAGGCCTAGACGTCTTTTCGGAAGAAAGTGGGCCATTGACGTAGGATAAAGTAGCAATAATTCCCAGGGATCAGAAAATGCCAAGCGATTATTCTGCTAGTTGGGAAGACTCGAAGTTGGCGAACTCTTGTCCATGGGTCAAGCTGTTTCATTCAAAGCGGGCAACATCAAAACAATTTTATTATAATTTTATTCTCAACAGCGACGCTGGCACTCCTTCTGATGACGCCCCCTCAAAAGTAATCGCACATTTCCTTTTTAGAACCTGCTAAGCATCTGGTTCTTGTAAAATGCTCTTGCCAACTGTTCATACTTTATTCTTCCTTCAAAAGGAGGTAAAGATCAGTAGAAAGGTTTTTTACTTATTTTGAAGGGGAGAAATTATCAGGTCAACGAGGAAATCCTACATACGTTTCGAGCTTATTTATGCAATGCTCAAAATGCACTAAACGTCCAAACGGGAGCTCTTTGGTGACCCCACATTAACACCCAGGTCGCATTTTATTTTCTCCGCAAAAATTGCGGACGAAGTAGCTGAATAATAACTTGCGAAATAAATACATTTCATTTAAAAATATCCATATAACCGTCAAGGCTATCTATTGGTGAGTTGTTGTTATGGTAAATGGCCGTGTACAGTTCACGATAATGGATGATTGGCTATTGAAGCGGAGCTTCCTTCTAAGCTGAGCATAAATACATTTATAAAACCACGCAGTTTCAGTGCCATGGGTTTTATGGAATGAATACGACAAACATGCCCAAAGAATGTAGACAGGTGTGACATGACTTAAGCCACTTGTGCAGGCAAGGCACCCACACGCACACGCAGTATATTCACTGCCAGGACTTGGAAATATGCCTCATCCTCCCTCCTTCGAAGAATATTGTGAACCAAATCTCAATTATGTATGATTTGGAAATAGCTATGCCTTTGGGCTCATGTCAAGTAGTCGTTCGCCTCATTTGCAGTGAATAGACATTTTCAAATGAAATGGAAGGAGTTAAGTAAACTTATGATTGAGGCAGATAAAAGACTGACTTTTGCGCAGCTAAGAGGGTGTGTTTATTAAAATGGAATAACTTTTGAGCCATTTAAGTGCCATATATACCTCTAAAGAACAAGGCAGTTATGGTGTACGGTTTTGGAATAATCAGCAACCTTTTCTCGCAGCAAGGCTGTAAATTTGAAATAAACAAGCTATTTTTTTACTGTCAAGTAACTGCGGTGGAAGTTAGTCACTAATATTATTCAAGAAGTGACAACTCGTCACACAATTATTTAAACAATGGCAACAGCGATTACATTTTTCTATAAAGACGATGAGATGTTCAAAAGTTGGCAATGTGTTCAATCAATAAAGAACATTTAATTCAAAACTTGGAATGTTCTGCCCATTGTATGAGGCAGTCATTCGTATTTGCTTAATCCAAAGCAATTAATTGGTTGATGTGATCGCGATCGCATTCATTGTTAACTAGTGCCATCATTGCAGTATGTCTTGGTGGAATTTATTTATTTATTTCCATGGGGTCATTTCATTAATCTCATCAGTATCACCGCAGATGTTCCAGGATCCGAGACTTTATGACGCTCGGGTAGGCTACATTTGATAGAGGCAATTAGGCACACAGTGTTCCAGCAGTTAATTCATGGCATGATGGACTGCTTTTCCGGATTGTGGCTTTGTGGAAATGCAGAGGTAGAAGTTGGCATGATTTAAACCAATAAACCCCTAGACATTATATTTACATTTCAGTTAAAGTCCACTTCATAGGAAATCGTACTTTGGTAATGCTTGTGCTTTAGCACTTATCCCGTTAGCGAATTCGTTGGGTAGGTAGTAAGCCAAGAGTCGTGGATTTGCCCCAGCTCAAAAGCTAACCAATGGTGAAGATATTGAGTTGGTAAAGAGAACTTTGGTTTTTCAGTTAAGTCTGTCCCGATCTAGACATGTCATCTACATTTCTGGCATTGAGCTAGGGTTAATTGAATTAGTTGTAAGTTTTTGGGATATATTTCGAATTTATTTTTGAATCAATTGGGATTTTTGGATTTGGTAATGCCAAAATCATTCTATAGCAGACTGATTGCATTGTAAATAAGCCAAGGAAGGCGGTTGTAGGCCTATTGGAAATCAAGCACTTTACTTTCATATTTTGGTGTCCCAAGACGGAAGTTTGCCAAAATGAAAGATATCAAATCAATCCAAGGAGTAGTCTGATCTCCCTAATAGCAACATTCTTACATGATAAAGGAGCCCTATATTGGTAAGATTGTACCATTATTGTCAGGTATCCCTATTGTAACCATATTTCAGTAATTGAATGGAACAGGCGAGGCGTACTTGATCGTAGTCGTATGTCTGACCCAGCACCTCTATTGGGCCGACTTGGCAGCGTCGGTTGCGATTGGTGTAACTGTGTTGGAGGTTTTTGGAATAGAAGGTGTGTACCTGTGTACCGGGCACAATGTGATCGTAGAGGTAGCGGCCATAATTGTCTAACGGAAATCCCTTGGCCTCATGAGCTATCACCTTGGGACGACCGGACATCTGGCGACCCGCGTCCTCCAGCTTAATTCTCACTGTCAACTGCCGACAAAATGAAAATAAACTCCTTTTATTTTTCTTGCCAGTTTTGAGCATTTTAGTCTTTATCAAGCACTTAAAGCTTTAAACGAAAAGCCGGTGATGGAGCGTAGTTTACAGCTATCGTCGAGGTACAAGAGAAAAGACGCCAGTAGATTTGTTAATGATGACCTTTAGGTAAGTAAGCGGTACTGGAACGGTGATAGAGGCCTTGGACCCAACTCCATGTACGCTTGCCTTGAAGAAGATAGTTATGCCATTTCTCTTGTTGGGAACTGAGTAATATGAATTAAGGCAGTGACTTCTTTTTTTAGTATTTGGTGCTGCATGTCATCAAAATATTGCATCAAAGTGTCTGCCAATCGTCAAAGATAATAAAAATTAAATCTTGTAGATGGTTTAGGAGTCCAAAATTCATTTTGAATTCCATAGGGACACTTGGGGCATTTGTATGTTGCTGTGCGTGGATGTAATTTTGGCGCCCTCAAAACCTGTAACAACGCCACCCATAACGGCGTATAAATACCATAACATCGAATAGCCATTTCAAGATTACTAAGTGTCGTCGGTCCCTAGATTTCGCTCTCTCTACTAAAAAGCAGGAAATTGAGGACATTTTGTTTCATTAATACACTTTCTGCAATTGTGTAGTCTTATTTGCGGTCCAAAGATGCACTGCATCCAAGCTCCACAATTATGGATGCTTTTGTTTTTGCTTGTGAATCAACAAATTTTTGATGCTAAATTTGGATTTTAGTATCCACGATATGGCAATAGATACCTTTAACTTATGCCTTCACATATTAAACCAACTTACTCTTTGATATTTTGAAGAGACATTCCAAAGAAATATTGTGGCCGCGGTTTAGACTCCGATTCGAAAATATGTGTGCTTTGTAGATTTAACCTTAAAGGCTTTTTGTATGTTTGAAGTTGCTGAGGTCGTCATTGAGGGTGTAGAGTGACCTCAAATGCCGCTTTTCGAAACACGTCACGCATCTACCATTCACAATGTCGTTGCCCTCGTGGCTAATATGCAACCGCATGGTTTTAGTGCCAAAACGCGAGAGAACTTGGAATCTTACCTTTACAAGTATTGTTAATTTATGACAATTTAAACTACATATTAAGAGGGATGGGCGTCGCCCCACTTCAAACTTTATTAGATTTAAGAATTCAACCTTAAATCCTCTTAAGACGCCCAAAAATGTTTGAAAAACTTAACATTTGTTAATATTTAACTAACTTGTCATGGTAACTTCCAAATATTTGCAATTAACAGTGCATATTCTTATTAAAGAAGTAATGTCTACATATTTGAAGCTAGACGCAGTTAGGTGGTCTAAACTATTCAAATCACTGATTGCACAAGCGCGGTAAGAGTACCTCAATGTACTGATACTTCGAGTTTATGGTTTCATTGAACCCAAAATTCAAATCGTGGATTGAAATTTCCAGAATTCCCGAGTCCAGTTTATCTCCAACACGCAAATGATGTTAAAGCGCTCAAAATAATTCAGTTCCATTGATTGCAGGCCATTATATCAAACGCTTACTGAACTGCTATAAACTGCGCACGAATTGCTCCCAAGGGGTAAGGGCATAAATGTCCGCTTTCCAATCAACTAATTGCGATAGGATATGTGAATAGAGGCAGATCATCCACCACTTTACGCCAACCTTGCTCCTGAGCCCACGCCAGCACTGTAAATACTTCCCATCTGGTACATTAACCGAAATAGTTGTGTACGAATTTAATTTCCGCCACTGGAGCGACCGAAGAGTACATCTGTTGACAGTCTCCACCATCTATCATGTGGGCAATCACGAAATCAAACTTTTTTGCATGTTTGACAAAAAAGCTAACACAAAGGTTCCATACTGTTGGCTAAAGGCGACCAAAATGTTGCCGTTTCCGATAACCACATCCCAAAAGATTTATGTTCTAGTTAAATTCATACTGCTTGAAGTCCAAAAGTGTAATCCTCTGCAAATTAAGAATATCTCACGGCTACCTGCCTTGGTGTATGATAAAAATTGCAACACTACATGGATGCAACGCTGTTAGCAAAGAGGTTAAAATGTATTTTGCAGTGCCAAATGTTGCATTTACTTGGACAAGGACATTATTCATAAGAATACTTCACTTGTTTAGTCCAAAATAGAACTTTCCTTTTAGGAAGGCATAGGGGCTTGAAAGAAGCCACATTACTCAAGTAATTCATGAAATTCTTCCCTAATGTGGAAGATAAGATTCGGTTATTCTTGAATTTTCACTGCTAAGTGACCTAAGACTACTGGATTTTGCTACAGAGAAGCCATTGGGAGACTCTGTTCACATCGACGAATTGTAAGTGACACTGTTGCTAAAACTTTGACCAATCTTAATGATATGCATAAAAGCCAACAACAATGATTTTGTGGGATATCCTGTTTCAATTTGATGTAGCCAGTCATATAATATTTTTTTGTATAAGTATCTAACGCAGAATCAATGTTTGCCCCTCTAAAAAATGGAATTTTACACACGAATTTAGTCCGCAAAGGTACTTAACCATTTCAAAACAAACTTTCGATGCAAAGGCTCTGAAGTAATTATATTTAACGGAGGAGTATTTAGGACGTCTCCCTGGAGAACCAAGCTCGTTAGTCACAACAGGTTTCGGTCACAATTTCGGTGTCATGACGATCTATTAATGTAATTTTGTACATTCCCATTTCTAATTTGACTATTGCATTAGAGGAGAAAAGTTGTCCAATGCTATTATTTAATTTGTGTGAATATCAGATGGCCTGTTTGGTCCTCCACGTGTACATTATCAATGCATCTTCAAACAGTTAATGTCCAAATCTACCCACAAAATACCAAAATTCCCACCACGGATAAAAGTGATCACTTTCCGCATTACCATTATCCAGACGCTCATGCCGATCTACACATCATAACAGATGGTCTATTTCTGAATGCCAAAGTTATTGTCTCAGTCAGCCAGCCAGTCAAATGCTTAATGCCTTTCGTGCATGAAACTCCGGTAACCTGGTCAAGGTGGACCATAGCTAAGAAGTGATTTAGCTGGTAAACAATGAACACACTAAGTTGGCATTCAAAAGTCTTGTTATGAAACTAGAGCCTCAAACTTTTGCCGCTTGTTCTTTTGCTTCACCAGTGCAGATAATTAATGGAATCAAAAGGGGATTGGGATCCGTTTTCAGCGCACGTGGCAATTTATTGTTGTTTGAAGCCTACCCTATCCATAGATCTGCCTAAAGAAAAGGAAATCACACTTTCACTTAACAGCAAAATGTTAAAGTCTCTCCAGTCACAAAATGGGCCAAGCTGGAATGTGAGCTCGGGATAGCTTCGAAAAAGTAAAACCCAAAGGCCTTAGATATTAGGAGAAGTGCGACGGAAAGCGCAAACTGATGTTAAAGCAGGATCATTTGCACCGTCCTGCTGGGGAAGCAAAGAGAGATGCTATTAAGACGGAGTTATGAAATTTTATGGGCATTCGAAAGACATGACCTTGTCATCATTGGCTTTAAGGTCATAGCATGTGGTCACATCACCTACGATCAAGGCTCCTGGGGTCACAACCATCATTGTTTTTATCAGATCTTCTCATCCCACCCGCGCAAATTGTTTTGACTTGCCGAGGCTCTACGTGTCTCAGATTAGATCGTTCAGTAGAAACCCTATCCGTGATCCAGAGATAGGGTCACCTTAGTTGTTTTTTAGCCTTTTCTTGAGAAAATGAAACTGTTTACACCACGTAGTGATTATTTAGTGGTTTAGTGGTTTCCGGATATTGTATGGATAACAAAAATTTGGAATCATAAGAGGAATAGCAAAGCGAGTTTATTTTTAGATTGTCTGTGATGATAGACTTGGTTTATGAATGAATTTGGGGCGCATGTTCTACTTCTATTAATGAACAAAGTCAAAATACTTCACTCCAACTTTTCTTCGGACAAAACAAAGGGTGTCTGGACTACTGCCATGTTCCCTTTCGTGGGCATTGGTCCCGAGGCGAGCTGAAAAGTTGGCACAAGTTACCTCACCAAAGCCGATATAAGGCAGTTGCAATCGGATTGTGATGGAGGCTATCGGCTGCCTTTTCAATGAAACGCATCCGCGATGTCGCATTCCCACATGCTTGGGCTCATACCTCCACTCATTAGCGGATTATAACTAATGGGAGTGAAATGATTTCTAAATTGTATTAAAAGCTATTCGAAAAGGCTACCCTAGCTATCTCTATCTTGTTTACCTTTGCCATTTGCAAATCTTGCATTTCTAATGAATATTGGCCTAACGATAATAAACAGGTCGTGGTTAAGCAGCTTCATTGCTTGAAAATTCTTTCACGAGATAATCCAAAAACAAAAGGCAGTGCTTAAATTTAAGGCACATAGTGTACAAATATCCCGCTTTTGTAAAGAATGGCTAAGATCAGCACAACTTTTATAACCCCATATTTTAGTAAGTCCTGAGGCTTATAAAATCGGCTGACAGCGGTTCCCTTCGTGTGCTGCGCCAAATTCCAGCTTAAGAACTTTGTGATCTCCCACGTCGTTCATTAAATTGGGAGGAAAAGGAGGAACAGCAGAAAGTGGTACTCCCTAATGTTCTAGGTGCCTGCATTTTCGTCGTCCATAACATTTTGATTCGTATGACGGAATAGTTGCTTCACTTCGTGCACGCCCCAAGAAGGATGATGCATCAGCACATCCAGACAACAATAATCGTACCTTTGGCCAGACCATTGTTGGAGGCATTGTATTTGTGAATAAAATGCTATTACATGGCGAGGAGTCCAAAGAAGGCCACATAACTCCATTTGATTGCCCACCTTTGATGCACATAATATTGGCCCATAAAAAGGTAACTAAATACCCTTTGTACTTTAAAGGAGTGATCAGACATGGTCATCATTAAGGTTTGACGCTTATGAAAAAAGTATAGTTCCAAGTTTTTATAATCTTAAAAGAAGAATTGCTAGACTGGCAGTTTGATTGTAAGAGATAATCATGAAACCAGTTCGTCTGCTTACTAGGTTCACTGAACAGGAAAAAAGGGAACCAGAAGTAAGATTGAATTGTTTAAAGAGTTTGTCACCAATGTAGGGGTGCAGATTTGCAGCACTTGATTCACTTCCAGTGCATCTTATATAATATTCTTTTGATATAAAAGGACGACTTTTATAGTGTCACAAGTGAGGCTCAGAAATCATGGTGGATCACTGTTTCCATGGACGAATGAATTCACGGGACGTTAGACGCTTTGGTTTGAAACGAAACCACAATTTTGGAATGGATTTTATCAACAATAAACTTTTTCCATTTTTATCTGCACTTAGTGCTCACCTCAATATCTATCGATAACCACGACTATCAGGTCTAAGACTCTACTGAGGAGCCAGGCGTTCACATCTGACCTCGGCGTCACAAACACAGGAGGCGCTTTCACAAGCTCCGAATTGTAGCGCCTACATATTGGGCTAATGGCAACAGTTGGATTGTTAAAAATTTAGTGATAACTGATGTCACTTTAAAGAAGTAAATTATCGGAATTGTGGTGGCCAAAGGTCCCTCAGGATTTTGGTAGCAGTCGCATCAGGAGAATAGCAAAACGCCATTAGAAAATGAGAGTATTTTCTGTCAGTTAAAGGGCTACAAAATCTACTGTTGCCCTGTCAAATACAGCAAGACCCGTCTACACAAAGTTATTGGGTAAATAAAAGGTAAAAAACATATCCCTTAGGAGGAAGAGCCTGAATTAGATCTAATTCGCAAAGGAAACAGATGGGATGGCTAAGAATTCAGTGGGAATGACTCGCTTTGATACAATGCTTCAATGTATCCCACAGGCAGAAAAGTGGAATTTCACTTCAAGAATTTTCAGGACTAACTGTAAAATGATACATTTTTGTGGGCTCAGTAAACCTCTGAACGTTACCTTTCATGCTTTTCAATTTGCTGTAAACGAATACTGAAAGGGATGAGGATAGCTTACAAATTAAAAATGTTTTGATGTATTTCTGCTTAACCGACAACCAAAAAATCCATTAAAGCAAACAAGGAATTCCTTGGTAGGGAAGAATTCTTAACATCTTAAATCGACTTAGACGGCTGTTACTCGACTGGTATAAGCCATGCCTGTAAAACCACGAAAATCGCACTTTTAATTTATGAGTTATTTCTTTATATGCCCGATGTGGCGAAAGTAGGGAAGTCATCCTTAATTTTTAGCAAATACCGTCCACTCCTTCGCTAACATCGTTAAGCAAATGACGAAGAAGCAGCAATTAAAAGTCATCAACTCATTTCATTTCAGGAATTTGCAGCCATTGACGGCGTTTAAAAGACTATATTTTATTTAAAACAGCGACCACTCAAGGCCGTTTGACTGAAAACATGTTTCCTATAAATTCGGCCGGTTGGGTTACCTATTAAACCACTACAAAAACCTAGATCTGGTTTTTTGGAGAATTAAAGCACTAAATTGTGGGCAACATTTACTTTCCCAAACGATAAACCATGAACGCCGACAAAAATTTGTGTCGGTAGATGTGCACTCGCGAGTCTTTGGAAGTAATGAGTGGCACCGCAGCGAGCAGTACTTGTCGTTGGCATTACATGGTCTAATCAAGCTGCCATTCTATCACTGACAATTGGTCTAAGACGGTAGCGTGCGAAAAGTTTGGACCCGAAAACTGTTCAAACAAAGGCGACACTTAACGTCAACTGGCATTGTTTAAATAAACATGGAAAAAGTGGCGGAACAGTTCTACATGTTAGATGTTTACCAAATGAAAAAAGACAGTTGGAAATAAAGTGTGAAGAACATTGTTTTTGTAAAACACAATGTGGTTACTCAATTAAATGCGTGTTGAAACCGTTTTGCTTACTTCATATTGAATTTTAAAAGGTAGAAATTTTCTAATTCACTTCACCATCTAAAAATTACCCCACAGAAAGGATTTATTCTCGTAAAGCTTATTCTATCTATGCTGCGAAAATGAAGTTAATTTTCATTACAGCCGCTCAAGGAGGTCGCAAAAGTTATTTACCCGCGAGCGCATAGAATCCGAGCTGTGGGTAGCATTGGATGCGCAGTAATTTACTGCTTTCTGAGGCTCGCTTTAAAATGGTCAATACTTAAAATGTCATACAACGAAATCCGTTACACGTCTTCTTGCATGACAAGAAGTATTTCCATTTTTTAGGTGTTTTCATCCAAAACTATGAAAAGTACTGTGCACTGTGAGGATAATAAGAGCATATAGATATCAACCTCATTTGGTAGAAAAAGGACCCGCTTTTGGGAATGCAAAGCTATGGTTCATCAAATATGCGCTAGTTGATTGGGGTGAGGGGTGCAAGGACATTCTACTTCCAAGACGTCGTGCCCTTATCGAGAGGCGTTTAATAATGTCGAATACCGTTGGAGTGACACTGTGGTACAAAATGTACCCACGTGATTGGCAATTACTAAACACAAGTAAAGTCCTTCCTCTGATTATGTAAATGGGACTGAAATACACTAAATGAATTCCCAGCAAAATTAACTTGCAAGTAGGACAAGTGAATTCTCGAAGTAAAAATGGACTGTGTACTACTAATTTCATGGGATTGAACTCTTAAATACCGCGCTAACCGGAAACCAACCAACTTTCAGAAGTCGTATTCTTTAAAGCATTTAGTTTTGATTAAAAAAATCAAATTACCGTTGTCAATTATTGCTAGAATACACGGTGCAAAAGCAGAATGAAAGGGCTGGGAGTTTTGCAGCTTCCGTACTCATAAATTGGATAAAACCAGCTTTCTGTGGATAACCTAACCCTTTATATTACGGCTGTAAATTATTGAAACATTGAGTGTAAAGAGGGCAATTAATTGAAACCTGAAAGGCGCAACTTTATAAAGTAGGATGAGTACCTGAGCACGCACGACAATAAATCGCTAACGCAATCTGATCTGCAGGTGACGACGGATTTTTCATCTTTAGCCATGCGATCCAGTAGGAAAATAGACTAGGAAGACGAAAACTCACTACGTCCCGGATCCTTTACCCAAGGCGCGTTTAATCTGGCCGAAGTCGTGACGATAAGAATCAGCATTACTACGAGTAAAAGTGCAGTCGCTTGATGTTCGCCACCTACTCAAAGCATCGTCTGGAAAAAGTGCGTCTCTTCTAAGACATGCCATTTTAAATAAGCATTGTATAAACGAGCATGTTTAAAGTAGTAGCTATGTATGGATCACAACCTAGTGAGAAGAAGGCTAGTATCAGGAAAAAGGCACTTTATGGTTGATGTATAGATGGGGACGAAGGGGTGAGTACTTGATAGTTCTTGTTTGAATGTACATTTAGCCGCCACTGCGCGAGGAGCTGTCTCCTTCCTGTAGCACAATGATAAGTCATTCTTCCTCATTTATCTGCCACATCAAAGACCAACGATGACTTAGGCAATACAGAGGCATTCAAATCTCCAAGGGAAATGTGGAGTAAAATTCCTCCTGTTGATAATTTGTATGAGTTTTGACTGGGGCGCTTTTCCGAAATGAAAATCTTGGGAAGACCCAGTGGTTTTATTCTGATTCAAGTGAGAAGAACTTAGCTTTTTAATCAAGGAATATCCAGCCTTATTCCATTAATAAAGAGCAGACAATCAAGGTCATGTTAAATTTACATAAACTGACATGAAATGGGGAGAACTTACTACCTCTCAAAATGCTACAGTATGGAGACGGAATAATGTACTGAGGCTGAATGCAAAAAGCACAGGCTGAGGACCTACAAATTGCCCCAACAAATGCCCATAGAAGCACCTAGCTCAGCTAATTTCATAAGGCTTGAACTTGGCATGAATGTGACTAAAAATACTCTCATTTGCCTCACCAACTAAAAGATGGTACTTAGAACATGGCGAGGGCATGTTAAAATCAAACTTCTAAGGATTGTGTGTATTTACAATAGCGCGAACGTGTAAATACTAAATAGTAAAAAAAAATATTTCAATGCCTTGATATTTATGGGTCAAACAGTATCAAGCATCCTCGAAGCCGACGCTTCTTCAAAAAAGGTGGTACAGAAATTATGCAGATGCATTACCAACAGAATTAAATTGTAAAGAAGCAGCGAAAAACAATATTTACAATAGGAGATAACCATGACAGGCCTAAAAATCCACAAAAAAGAAACAATATAAAGCCATATTTGATGAAGTATATGGACGGAAAACGCACTATTTTCCAGAACTCATTTCTGTGGAGACAGGAGTGGTTGAGTTTGAATGTGGTGCAGACTTCATCGGGTGGAATAGGCACTTGTTCGGTGACAGAGAGGGAGAGGGAGCCAGGAGGCGAGGTGTCAAAGGTTACATTGAAGTTTGCCGCTCCGATAATGTAGGTGGAGACGGAGTGGAGCCGCGAGCTCCACGTCATCTCACCTTTGGCCTGACAAGGCAGATCAACTCCCTTGAGGATACTCCAATTCACTAGTGGCGGAATGCTCAGGCGTCTGGCGAGGACCTGATCCGTTCTGTGCTCATTTAGGCAGATGGTGATGGAAGGTGGTTGGATGCCCTCAGTGAGACCAATTTGATCGACTCGGAAGACGGTTTTGTGGGAGAGGTAATTGGTAATGGTTATGGTGAACATACAGATGATGCAGATGAGCATCAGAATGCAGCACACCGCGTAGATGAGACGCACTTTGCGCCGGGGATGGAAGAACATCTTGACCACAGGGATGAAGGGCGTGGCTACGCCAACACAGGACTCGGAATTGGTGCGGCGTCTTTGGATGTGCTCCCACCACCGCTGGAAATGCGAGGTAGTTGAAGTGAACATGCTCTCAGTCTTGCATCGTCGGGGTTGCTCTGTTAGTCTGGGGGTTTAATGGGCTGTAGATCGGGATTAGCTACTGTGTCAGTGGCAGCGGTGGTGATAGCGGGGGCTAAACGATATTCCCACTTGCACGCACATTTCCTTCGGCCTTTCCGAAGCGGCTGTCACCCGTAGTAGTTAGGAGGAAGAGGGGAGACCAATCAGAGGTGGATGAAGCTCATGCACTCCTCTGATTGGCTTTTCGCTCCATCAAAAATTTCTGTACTTCCATATAAACTGTATGTGCCGCTGAGTTTCTTTTGTTCAAAAGGGGAAGTCGGAGAATAACGCTGCATTTGTAGATTATCTGCACACAAAAAATATGCCTTTAATCCATCTCTGTAGAGCTTCAAAAATTTTTGAAATTAAAAACAAATTCAGGCAACTTTTGCGGATGGAACCGAGCTGTGAAAATTGACTTCCATTCTTCCAAAAGAATGTGGCGATTTTGTTTACATTTATTTTGGTAAGACTTACTTATGAATCTCATCATAACTTAGAGCTTTTTGTTTCCAACTTCAACTTTTAGTTTAGAAGGGAAAATAAAATTGAATTATTATAAAAAAGCATGTGTGGAACAGGGTTGGATTTGAGCAATTCGATGGCGCTCCGAGTCTTCCCTAAAGACAAAAGACGAAATAATACTAGGGCAAAATATGTATTTTCGACGTCTAGTTGAACTCGAGGCTACTGTCAGGACCCAAATGCAGTGCCACCTGGTGAAAGAACAATGGTAGGGCCCTTGAGTGGCCCGTTACCAAAACTGTAAACTAAAGGAACAATTAACGTACTAAAATTGCATCCAGGTAGCATAAAAACACTTGGATGAGTGTTTCAGCCTTTATAGTTATTCGAAATATCCGGTTGGAGGCGTTGATACTTGGCAAATTTTCTTGGGATGCCAAGGTTGAGAAAAGTTGTTGGGGCAAAACTGCGAATCGGCCTTAGGGCCGCGATAATTCAGATTACAGGAACGTCAAGAACTATGAGAACGGTAAGAAGTTTGTTGCTCCGGTTTAGTTGGCTGGGCTGATGATAATTGGTACCTGCCGTGGACCTGGTTGAGTTTCCTAAATATCACGTCTTTGGAAGGTCAACCGCCCCGGGTACGAACTTATTTGGGAAATAGTAAGAAAAGCTTGACAGTATATGTTAATGTCTTTTTTTTTAAAGTATGAGGCGAGGATGTCATTACCCTCGACTACGATGCAAATCGATGCAACTGGGGACCAGCGGCAAGCCTTTTATCTTGATTGGCTTCCATCTGTCAAAAGTTGGTCTCACTGGTATCAGCTCGACCTTACGGAAGTCGTTTCAGACCTTCTGTCCGGAGTCAACCTCTCCTTGCTGTACCATTCAGATATTCTAATCAACCAATAAAGTCATGGTAGCGCTTCACTTGGATCAAGTTTGGTTGCCACTGTCACCAAAGTAGAGCCCCAAGGCTTCTTAAAGCTTATTGCAACATACAAGTGATTGATTGCTGGTGTACGGAAAAGCTGACATTTTAGAAAGCAGACGCTTATGAGCCACTTAAAATGAGAGACAAAATAGTCCTTGCTGTCTTAGGAAGCAAAATAGGGTATGTTTATCCTCTCAAGTGGTTGGTTCGGAAAGCCGCTAAAACATTTACTTATTGTCCAAACCGTAACAAAGTGCATTATCCAGGTAGACTTAGAGCCCAACATTATAATTTTCTTTGTATTTCACACAAATATCCTACCGTTATCATCAAAACTTCTGAGTTAACATTCCCTAATATCATTACTTTTACAATGCTTCCCTCGTTAAGTGAATTTAACGGTTCATTTTTCATGGAATAGAAGATAATTGGTATAATTCCTCCGAGACTCGCAACTGTGTTATCTTGACAGTTAATGGCTTCTCATCCTGATAATTCAAGCGCATTAAACAAAGCCAAGCTAATGCTGGTAGTTTTAGATAAATGCGTATGCCGTAGCATTTGGTGCTCCCTGAAGACGCTGTATCGTGGCACATAGACAGAAAGGCTGGTGGATATCCAACGGAAGGCCATGACGCCATGATGGTGATTGAATCCTGTGGAATATGAGGAGGCCGTGTAGCTAAATATGCAAGTGACAAGTGACTTTCCATTACAATGGATTGGTACGTGAATTATGCGAGACAGAGCCCCGACCCATTAATTCAGATGCGCACTTGGCTTGTCACCACCAAGTCCACCTGTTTTTGACGTTAAATAACGTAAGTACAGGAATCCTACAAAGCCAAAACGCGATTGAGTCACTGGACTTAAAATCTCGATAAGTGGCCAACACTTCCAACGACTGAGGGAAAACTTTCTAGCACGGGAAGTCAAAGTGGAAGGAAAGGAAATCAGCAACACATTCTGTAGGAATTACAAGAGGTTACTTACATCATTTCAATCTTGAAGGAAATAACTATCACTCAAAATATCAAAGTTCGATGCATCTTTCAGCCCATTTGTTTACTTCGCTAATAAAAAAATAGACGTGGTTTGTAAAGTGGTATATTTATAATGTTCACTCTGCAGGCAAAACGCACTACTAGATGGACGGAAAGATAATAGTCGTCTCAATTGTCTGGAAATATTCTGCCATAAAATAGGCTTCTACGGCCAACACTGCAACCGCAATAAATTGATCAGCAGGAAAGTTTTATTTGATCCCTTCATCAAAGAATGCTGTGGTGTTTAAATAAAGTAGATTAGGTTTCGATTTAAGGGTTGAGGAACAGTTCGAGAAAGTGCTGGCTTCAAAACAATGCCTCAAAATTTTCCTTAATGTTAAATCCATGTATTTTTGGAACTTTTCAGTCCTACTTTGGAGTTCTTCTTTAAGACTTTTATGGTTTAAGGTGGACCTTCCTCAACGGTGATTGCGAATTCGGAGATTAAGACGAATAACGAAGCTACTCGCAATTAATATGCTAACCAATTTGCCTACACAAATTAGGTAATCCATATTACTTGTTTAAAATAAGGAGATTTCAGTCCAAAGGAACGCCTTAGAAATGAACAGCCATCTAACGCATTTGGGGTAACCCTGCATTTCACCCACCGTAGCGATATACCTTAACCCATTCACTTTCTGCGTCAAACACGCACCACGGTCTGCTTTTCTCATCTGAGGACGGAGCCGCACTTGTGTGACACGCCCCCTCCTCAGAGGGTTGCCCCGATTCGTGTGCCACGGCGTGTGAGTTGGAAGTGGTCCAACAGGATAGAGGATGGTTTTTTGGCCTGTGGATGGCCACTCTTGAGCCAGCACTTCCGATAATGTTTTCGGTGCCCGATGCATTTTTTTCAGCCAACATTGCCTCCTCACATCGATAGATCATCAAAATCATTATTTGGGGCCACAAAACATTTTAATTCCAAAGTAAGGATGGCGATTTGTTACACTCACTAATAGGTGCTGGCAAGATTAGGGGAAAAGTGGGGAATAATAAGGTTTTATGTAAATTAATAGCTCTTGTTGGATGTGACTGCTCACTTTCGATCCAATTACTACTTTCGGTGGGACTTTCGTTCTTCGCATTTATGTGCCCCAGGCAATAGTTGCCTGACTTCCTTAGAAGAAAACTTAGTTAAAGGCAAGAATTGCTGAGATTGTCTGCAGCGCCTTGAGACTTCCCTAAAGACGAAATAAGACATAATACTTGGACAGAATATTTATTGCCGACGTATAGGAGAGCTGGAGGGAAGTTATCGGCATGGCCCAGAGGCCAGGCCGTTTGGTGGAGCAGTGGTGGCGTCCCCAAGTGGCCCGTTACCGAAGCCAAGAATTAAGCAAACTATTATAGCATAACGGATTTGTACCTTAAAATTCTTTTGATAGCTCATTTGCTTTCATTTGAAACACCGTGATAAAATGATTGCTCAATGCTTTACTCACTGGATTCATGCCAAGAATTGTACGCTGGTAAAACTAACGTCTACCACCCTGACCAACATCTCCATAAAGGCGAGCCCCTTTCCCTTGCCGGGCTAACGCAGTGCCGCCGTTATGTAGTCCTCTACTTTGCAGACCGAGCGGTATCTCACGGGTAGTAAATAGTGTGGTGATATCGGGATAACTGGAGGCGCTTCAGATAGCTAATAGGGCATGCCAACCTTCCGAATGAGAGATTTCCAAGATTAATTATAGACGAGTCAACGTAAATTAGACATGAAAGGAAATAATAGTTTGATGTTGCCTTAAACACCTTTACTTGTTTGTAATACCGTTGAAAGAAAGCGAATTACGCAGCAATTCAATTAATTAGTTTGTTTTTAGTTTGAAGATTCTTGCTATTCTTGGATGGTGAATACACCCAGCTTGGAATACTTACTCTTCATCCGAAAAGGATCCCTGTGAGAATGAACCAGCTTGCTCGTTCTCTGATCCATTCATGTATCGCGGTCGAGCTCTCTGGAAAGAAAATTTGGCCCTTAAAGTTCATTTACCATTTTAAAGCATCTTCGACATTTCCAAACAACGTTTAAGCTATTTGGATTTTCTGCTTCTGTACATTCTTATGTGCAAATATAAGCGGACAGGTCACATAATAATACGGATTTCCATGCGGAAAGAATTTCGCAAAATTTTATTTGGCGGTAGCCAGGGCATTTTACAATGAAACGAATTGTACAAATAAATTACCTTATTCTACAACGCGTCCTCACCGAAACGGGACCCATACCACCTCAGGTTAAAAAAAATCTGCCTTACTTGATTTTTGCCTATGTTTCTGAGGGACGCTCAGAAATGCTAACCTTTTCTAGGCTTGACGCACAAAGAGGAAATAAAAGACAAGGCAAATTAGATTTTTCAAGTGACACAGGGCACCACGAAGTTCAGGAAGACTGAACGTGAAAAAAAGTGCGCAGTGCACCTAAAACAACCATTTGGAGTAGATTGAAAGCTGACGAGTCAACGACAGATCGTTTAACAGATTTCATCACCCATATTTCGCATACCGGTCCTACTACTGCCATTAAATGCAAGCAATGCAGGCAGACTGAGAAATGAGCAGCTAGAATCCCTAATTTTATTCTTTGGCTCCATCAAGTCGACCGCCCAAATGGCTAATTTACACAGAACTCGTAGCACCGCCAGTCTTGACAACCGCGCAACTGAAAAGAAGCGGTTGTTAAGATATCATTTGCGAGTGCATTCACAATGAAATCAGGTCTATGTATTACTAATACAATGAATTGATATGAAGCCCTGAGTGCCTCAGAAGAGCTGAGGCTACCAGCATGATCGCCGAACCTTGCCACCGAGAAGTGTAGTCTTCTAGGACTGAATGGCCCGCGTAATAAAACGCCTGGTTAAACAAACCTCCAAAGCACCACGACTAATATGTTGCTAAAATATGATGTACGACCTGCCAGGAACTAAGTTCTCATGTAAGCGGAAGCCAAATTAAGCAAACTGCCAGAGCATTATGCTTGGTTCCTTAAAAAAATTAAATAGTAATAAAATAAATCAACTTGAGTGATTAAATTAAACATTGTTCGATTAAAATATGGAAAATATTATTGGAGGTGTTGAAAATAGTTGTCCGCAAGTAAGTTAATTCATATAAAAAACATTTTTGCAAAATTTTGGTGGTAAATGGTCGCACCGATACAGCGCCCTAAATTCCTCACGAAAAATATACACTTGCAAAAAAATTATCCTGAAGTTACCAAAAATGATTAAAGTAGGAGCTTTATTACAGGGTTTAAGAGTCAAAACTAAATGGATTGCATAAATTTGCTAGCGAAAATTTAGATAATCAAAATAAACTTCTCTGTAGGGTCCCGAGACTTTCCAAAGCCGGGAGAAGACACTATACTCGGGCAGAATATGTGTTCAGCACAGAGAAGTTGTTTGGTCTATTGGCATGGCCCGAAGGCCAGCCCACCCAGCAAGGTAAAAAAAAGATAGCTCGAAGTACAAAAATGGCGCCCCACCAATCCCGAGGGATAAACCACCATTGTATTACATTTCCAGTTTATTTGCACTGAACATGCGACTTGTGCCTGTCATTAAATTTACAATTGCAATGACCGTGGTCGCTAGTTCTATTGCAATATTTTAAATGCACTAACTAATTTTACCAGAGCCTTGTTTAACTTTGCTTGCTAATCTAACACACATGTGAAATTCGTTTTACTGATCCAAAAGATACGCGTGCTTTTGAATATCGCGGGGTTGTCGTCGGCTGTGTTCGAGATGTCCAATAAGAGGAAAATTCAAATGTCAGATTCAGATCTCGAGTATCTGCGTGATCTAGCCAGGAGTTATTCAAAGAAGAATGCCTTTGATAGCAAAGGCATAATGCTTCTTTGCAAGGCCTTATTTCCAAACAACACAAAAATAAAGGTGGGTATTCATTGGAGTTAATCTTAGTTTGTCAACAGATTATGGAATATGAGATTGTTAAAAAAATGGGGAACTTTAAACTTGCATCATCAATCCTTGCTGACAATTATACGCCGCGTACTAATCGGTGGGCAGAAGAAGTAAACAATATTTTCGCAGGACTGCAGTCTACTCCGGTCAGTCAGCAGTGTCAGAGTAAGCTTGATTCAATTTTCTTACTACTAATGGATTAGAATTATTTACTGCACTTCCACATCGCATTCAGACGGATATGACCATTTCATACCTCAACTCCGTATTCAATACCGTCGAATCAAAAGCAGACTTCATACTTCAGTTTCTTACAAACAAATTGGACGTACTTGGGGAAGGCAGTGTTGTTGGAGCCTTGTTGGAGAACCTCATTGATCTGCTTATGGCAGCAGAGGAGAAGCACTGCCAAGCAATCAACAGCAAAACGCAAAATTGTAAACCTACCCCGAGCACTCCACAATCACCTGATAGGGAAGCTGCTAGCGTAACTGCCACAAGATCTTGCTTATTGAATGAGTCAAATGAGGATTTAGAAACTGATGAAGGTGAGGAAGGTGAAGTCCTGGAAGAAGCTGATGAAGATGATGACGAAGAGATGGACGATGAGGACGCTGATAATCAAGGTTCAAAGCTGCTGGTTGAGAAACAATGTATTAGTGTATTGAATTTTCATCGGATGAGACTTGTTTGCGAGGTTTTTCCTATAGTTCATCGCGTAAGTAAAATGTCGTTCCGTATTTTATCCCACCTACATTTACTTTAGATGCGTAATGGTATTAAAATCAGCAGTTCCCAGCTTCAGACGCTCGTGGTAAAGTCATTTCAGTTTCTATTTACATTTGCTGCACAAATCCCTTTTGCGGCAGATGGTTGTCCCGAGATCTTTGGCCTGTCAGGACCCCTTCCAGAACTGTTGAAAATGGAACCTGCAAAGTACTTGCGACTTTTTCTAGATATGGCTTCAGACCTCTTAAAATGGCCGGTTACCGGACCCTCCTTTCAAGTTCAGCCGCACTCTGACATCTTCGACATGCTTCGAAGGTGCTACCATATTTACAAAGACCTAGAACACGATGTTCAGCGCCAAAAAGGTGGCAGCGGTGGTGGCAGTGGTAATAACAAGAAACGTACCTCTGCCTCAGTTCACAATTTCTCTACAGTGGCCAGTCAAGTTGTTTGTATGTTTTGGGCTCTCTTTATTGAGAAAGGCATGGCATGCCTGAAAGAATTCAGCCTTCGGACTTGTGTGCCCTTTTGCATTGCCGCAGTTGCGCCGTCGATAGATGAATTTGATTTACCAGTAGATGAGCCACTTTCAGAGTCACTTCACCTGCTGCATTCACTATGGTCCCTTCGTCTTCGCTTCAAAGCTCAGGAGAAGAAATCAAAGTCTAGGTCCTCCAGGAAGGCCACATCGGTATTGGAAGGTGTGTATTCTTCTCTTCAGCCGCAAAGCGGTGTTTCCGATCTCAAATTTAGCTGTCTTCTTGAGTTTTTTGTTCGCGTTGACCTGACACTAGCCAGTTTGAACGACACAAATGCAGATTTTGAGGAGGTATTTGCAAATTTGGCTCTACTATCTGGTGCTTATAGCGAGGAGCAGTCCCGAGTGTTGCAGTGCTTACTAAGCGTTACGAAACTTCGCTTGAAGCCACCAACGCAGGTCAAACAGTTGGTAGCCGATCGACTACGACTTATTTATCGCGTGATTGAATTGAAGCTGGATGATGATACAGACAGTCGACCGTGGACGAAGCTGTCGAATCAAACGATTGTCATTTCAGTTGCGTCGTCAAGGGATACTGCTGAAGCGTGCTTGGCATATGTTGAACGGTGGTTGGTTGAAGCCGTTAAGGCGCAGTCTTCTGTTGACGCGGCATGTCTGGCGTTTGTCCTACACCAGAACCCCTTTTGGGCGCGCTTGCCTAACTTTAAGTGTGTGCACCAGGAGGAAGTCATTTCTCGCCTAAAATCGAGTTGGTCGACTGCGAGGAAATTTTTCGTCGGTTGGTTAACAGATGGATTTATTCGGAGCCCATGTTCTCTAAGTCAATTGGTGCAGGTGGAGACGTGTACAGGGGAATCGGAAAGGTAGTGTCATGATTTATTTAACAGTTCTTTTGCTTGCCAAATGTTAATCGTTATTCGTGTGTTTTAGCCATGAATCGGAGATCATAGATCAATGCACAAGTCTCATCCAAGCTCCGCCCTTTGCTGGAATATTGTCAACTTTGTTTCTTTTTATTAAGCAGGAGGGCAAACGCCTCAAAACTTGTATTAGTTGATTAATGTGAATGTAGTTTGCATTGTGTGTAAAGTGGGTGGTGGTGGGCATCTTCGCACCGAGGGGACGGCTGGTCTCTGAGTCTGGTCTCGCGGGAGCGGGTCGGGATACTTGTGGCCGCGGTGCAGTCCCGGAGCTCGAGTTGTTCGTGGGTTGGGTGGGAGCTCGGTTTGCTTCGCAGTGTGGGTGCCTTTGTTAAGATGATTTCAATATTGTCATCGTACCGAGTGCCTGGGCTTACTAACTCGACGGTGACGTAAGGGTGGAACCATTCTGCTCAGACTTGAAATCGAACGGATGGGGTGTGTGAAGTGGATACATTTTAACTTCCGAGCAAAGTACAAGCGTCACTCTTCCGAGTTTCTGCCTCACGTCTTAGGATGCGACAATTGAGCGCAATCAAACTCTTTAATTTTTTCATGGTTTTATTTGTCAGAATCGAGGTGCAATAATGCGTAAAGAACCGCATCATATGAAATAAGGTCCAGCCCAATCACGTGAAAATCAGATCAACCGATTTAATGGGTCTTGTGTGCACTCCAGTGGAAGAAATTTGGCTTCTAGGTTTTGTGTAATAGGTGGTATTTTGCTTTTGGTTTCCACACAGTTTTCTTCTAACTTTATTCGCATTTAATGGCTGCGTTTTTTGGACCCACAACGGGATCCGGTAGTTTCTCTGGTTTTCATGACAATGTTATTCTGATTTTGATGTTTTAAAGCCCGGCATTATTTGCAAACCTATGAAAACACGAAACTTCTTTCACTAGGGTCTTACGGTCTCTTGTTTGCTTTTCGGGTTTGTCTTAAACTAAGAAGTTTGATTTGGTAGGTCTCAACCAAAGCTTCTTCACATACCTATCATTAATACGATTATTAGTAAAACTTTCATAGGCTGACAAATTGTCCACTTCTTCGTGCCTTACACTCTCGGAGTATTTTTGATCTCAGAGTTAATTTTGCGTTTGCATCGCATTTTTGATGGAAATAGTCTAGATAGCTCAAAACTGCTCTTTTGGAATTTTAATTGTGATAATAATGATCCAAAAGCAGCGTCAGTCGGATCATTTCAAATCGATGAATGCTGCGAATTTTTAGGTGTTTTATTTGGATGGCAAATGTTAGAGAGATATTTAATGCACTGTTAATCAGCAGTCGGAGAGATCGAAAGGTATTTTTCTTTGTCTTTAATTACATTTCTTCACTGTCAGGTCCGTTTAAGTCAAGCTATAAACGCTCTCAAAACACCCACCGTACACAATTATTTGAATAAGAGCAGTGCCGATAAATGGTCTGGACGTCAAGCCAACAGTTTTACGTGGAAGTCTGTCTGTGATATCATTGTGCATCTCCTTCAAGACGAACTGCATGTGGCAACAGTCAGGCGAAATAATGTCAGCATTATGACGGCTGAATTCTCTGAATGTTTTCATCTTTTAAACGTCTTTCTATCTCACGGGTTGGAAAGTAGTAAAGTAATTTTGTAAACTGCTTTTTTAGCTGATTTGAAACTCCCTCTTGACGAGGTCCTCGTATTCCTCTTCGGTCTAATAAATGATTCCACCTTAGCATTCCTCCAACCCTTTGCAATTGACTCGCTCTCCTCTCTTTTATGGCATCTCCCAATAGAAACACAGGCTCTGGAAATCTGCAATCTCTCTCGTGAGTAGGCACGGAGTCTTATTTTGTGACTTACATTAAACTCAGGCCTTCAGGATTGGTGTCTCGATCAAATGAAGATTGCTCCATCCGGTCCTGTTGCCTTGCTTCTTTGTCATACTCAAAACGTGTGCTTCCATTCTCGCAGAACCCTTCATTGTAATTTTATGTCTCTTCTGGAAGGTGTTCTTGTGTGGTAGGTTTCACTGTCTAACACTCTGACGTCACAGTTTTGAGTGTGGGTGGTCGGATTCCTCGGGATTGGGGTGGTTCCTGCGTCTGCTTCGATGGACTGTGGCAGAAGTCTGTATCACTCCAGATCTTCATAGGTCCGTGTTCGGTTGCTTCCTTAAGCGTGCGCCCATTCTTTTTAAACTCTGGCCAAAATTTCGGGAGACTTGCGGTCAGTACGTGCCGCCCAACCTCCATATGCTGACTTTGGATGTCAACGATAAGTCTTCTCCTGCTCTGGCTCAGACAGTAAGTGGGAAACACTTTTCTTGTCAATCAAAGCCCCTTGCTTTTATTTTTGGATTTAATTTAATCCATTATCCATCACTTAAGCATTTAATAACCCTGGTTTCACCAACTATTTAGGTTGGTGGGTGCTTGAACGACTCCTATGCTCTAGATGCCTACTATGTAACATCTCCAGTCTTGGACGATCTCTTCATTAACTGGAAAGATTTGGCTAAATTTTCATCAGCCTGTTTGCTCTCGGATGCCTGTTTTATCGCTGAGGAAAAGCCTTTGCTGTTACCCGATCGAAGCAGTCGGCGTCCCCAGCCAAATTGCGTTGACACCGGTCGTGAATTACTGGCTTTTTGTCGGTGGATCATCAATACCAGTGTTGTCTTGAAGGCCTGTATCACGGTGGAAGAGATAAGACCGTTTTTTAGCCTACTGATGAATTTTTATACCACTGAGTGGAGTCGACATGCTGATCGAATGCGGTTTCAAGCGGAGGATTCCCTTTGTTTGCAGCTCTTTGGAATGCGTGACTTCTTTGTCACATTTGGCACGTTTATGGAAGCCTTGGAGGCCTTTAAAATGGTAGGTATTGCTTCCGGTCATTGGCACTTGTATTAGACTGAATTGCTTGATTCATTGAAAGCTCGTTCTTCTGATTGTCAACAACCGTGGATTTATGAACGTCTTTTCAACTTCGTGTCAGCTGATGATACCGTGGGCTGGTTGTGGTGGGTCATTGTCCTACATGTCTGTTGTTTTTTCGTTTTTGATGGTGAAATCGTTTAAGCTCTAGTCTGTACTTCAGGTGGCCAGTTTTTGATTGGGTGCTTCGCTTCCAGTGGCAAAGAGCTGTTGCAACGGAATCTTTCCGTAGTTTAAATTGTTTCATTGCGTTGGACGTAATTTCGAAATTACTGGGCTCTGCCAAAAGGTTTATTTTTGTACTAGGTCTTAGTGTCCCTCTTATAGTTCCCTTGCTATTGAAGCTGCAATATCAACCGCAGTGACGGCGTTGGCTATCTCTACTTACTACATACAACATGGACTCGAAAATATTGACGGTTTCTCATCCTGCATTGACCGAATTTGGAATCAGGCTTTACTGTGGGTCTCTTCTAGTCAATTAAGTTGTATTTTCTACCAAACGAATGAACATGATCAGTAGCTTAGTTCCACTTCATCCCGTTATTCATTGAGGACACGAATTATGCAATAGTTGCCGAAGAGGTGTTTTGTTTTTGGCTGGATTTTTATGCTTTAATTTAAGACAATTTGTCTCATTGCATGACCGTGCGACTTCCATGACAAAAGCGAGGTGGTTTTTTAAAGATCTATTTCTATCATACGACTGTTTCGAAACTGAGGCCACAACTTTGAACCTATAGTACTGATTTAAAATTTCAAATTTTTTCCACCAAAAGCACACTGATTTTATATCTGTTGCATCATAATGTGTTTGATAAGTCATTGCGAATTTCAGGTGGTTTGAACAGCTGTCGATATCTAACCTTCGAGAAGATTCCCGCTACAGAAACGAAAAACGTCGTGCTCTTCTTCATGACAGACTCATTTCCTGCCTCTTAGAAAGCTTGCTTAGGTTGGATTCAGTCAGTATCGCTAGCCAGGCCTATGTACCGTCACGAGCCCAGCATCTTTCCTCCCTCTGGAATGCCCTACTCTCAACCACAGTATTCGGCAATCCTTTTGCCCCCTGGCGTTATCGTCTGGCCCTGTTTGCTTACCTCATTTGGCCCAAAACCTCCATAGAGATAGTCTGTACTACGGCTACGCCAATACCACCACCCTTGGTGTTTCTTCTTACCACACATCCGTCGGCTTCCGATATTCTCCGATACCACTTCCTACATTGGAGCTTGAGTTGTCTTCTCCGTCCGGAAAACCCACTTCCTGAAATATTTCCTCGTGTCAGTACAGTTCCAGTATTTGGCCAAAAGCATGTTCAGCTGATCGAGAAGTTTGTGAATTCACATTTGCCAGAACCATCTGATCTATGGACGTGCCTGTTCTTTCATTTAGTTTCTCCAAAAATGATTGAAACGTCATGCCTTCGAGAAGCAGTGGATTACGTGTTAGTGGATGTGGAACAGCGTTATGGCCTTGTAACTGTGCTTTTTGCACTTCTACAGCGGGTTTCAGAAAAGGAATGGCCATCTCGTCTTAGTCAGTTGATACGCAGTTTGCTTGCGCACAAGTCGACGGATCAGCTGCCTGAGACTGTTGCTGCACATTGTGTTGATTTAGATCTCGATGATGGTGAATTATCGTCCCCAATATGTGAATTGACTGTAGGTACCGAAGACACCATGGCTACTACTCATCTTCGTTCTTTTGAGTCAAAAATACTTCTACCATTGAATGCCTTCTCTCATCCCTCCCTGCTTTCGATGACAGTGAAGTGTCTGCAAGAAATCATGACCAAACTGTCATGGCGAAGTGCCTACGATACAAAGTGGTTGGCGGCACTCCACCGGTACTTGCGAAAAGTGGATTTCTCCCCAACTGATAATGAAAGTGTTGTCGATTTGTTCTGCAGTCTCGTAGATGCTCTGAAGGATGCACTGAAAGCCCAGTTAGTTCTGAAAAGGTGGAGCCTTTTTCTTACAACCGTCACCGCTTTAAATGATTTTGGTATAGTCCTGTCTGCCTGCCTTACGGGGGTCGGAGACAAAGTTTTCCACAACGAAATTTTTGAAAAGATTGCCCGACAGGTTATTAAGTTGGCCGAGACAGCGTGGGTCGCTGGTGGGGCTAGATGGCCCAAATTCGAAGAAGGCTTCCTGCCTCCTAATTTGGGCTCCGTTTTCTGCGATTCATTTGGTGTTTGGATTCGGGTAAGTTTATAGGTCGTTTATTGCTGTTGGAAATGGCGCGAATTACATACTAATTTTAAATAAGTAGCATTAATCTATCGAATATTTTTAAGCTCCATTCTCTCGGATTGCTGGGTGACGAAGTACCAGCTATTCCTCTTGAAGTTCTTTTAATTCAGGAGGATACAAGCACAGTCCTCCAACCACTTCGTTTCTTTCAAAGGTTTGCGTTCTTTTCCAAACGTCAGACTCACTATTTTAGTCTGCCACATGAATCGAAAGACACCCTTTTACTTTTGATTGCAAATCTGGTGAGTCGTCTTTCCGGGAGGACGAAGATTACCTCACCGCCTCTTCTGTACACACTCGATTGGCTTCTATTCCTCCTAGTTGAGATCTTAAATCGATGGAAATGGGGTTATCACAATCACTTGTCGGAAAAAGAAAATTTTCCTTATTATTCCTTATCTCAGCTTCTGGAACAAAGCTCCACCTTTCACTCACCAGTCTCACTTATTATTTCCACTTGCTGCTTACTGATCAAGCACATAGAACCCATACACATCGTTGGAAGGGTTTGTCTTTACACTTTGTCTCTAACAGTGCTTGCAGGTGTTTCTAAATCGTTTAGCTGGCAAAAATAAGGCGTACTTGGGGCTGCATTTGAGGCCCTACCTAATGCCTCTCTGTCTCTGGGAACTCTCTGACGGTCGTTTCGATCTATCGACGTGCCCGCGGGAGTTTCAAGCTGCAGCGATAGCTTGGGGTTATGCCTCCTTTGAGGAGTTTTTGGAGTAGTTTTTCTTCCTCTGATTGGTCCCTTTCTTTAGGCAATCGCAGGAATACGGCGCATTTTTGCAGATCGCTGGCATCGACGTAGCCGAAAATCACCCCTCTCGATTTACGTACAATCAAATTGCAGCATGTCTATTTGCGAAAGATCGGTTCCCAGCATATATACGAACTCTTCAAACTGCTAATCAGGTTTGTTCATATTCTAATTTGACGCCTCATTTAAATCAAGCCTTAATTTTCACTTAAGTAGATACAAATAATCTGTTTTATGAAAATAAAATAGTGGATGTACTGGAGTAGTGCTGCTATCATATTTTAACAGTTCTTTTCTAACACCCTTCCTGTCTTCATAGAAGGCCTTCAAGTGTGTGTGCTGCATAGAGGGCTTTGTGGCTGTCACTTCGTACCTCTTCCACTTCGTACTCCTATTCACAAGTGACACTTCCGCCGACCTTGACCGCAACGCTTCCCGGATTAGCTACCACTTGGTCTCCCGTCTAACTCTCCTCTTTGTGGAACTCTTTGCTACTCATCAAGTGGATACTGATAAACTGACCTGTTCACTCTTCTCCTCATCCTCGGCTGCGGACAATGTGGAGCAAATGGCATCACGAATACTCTCGCAGGTCGCCTCTTTCAAAGCGGATTTTATACTGGTACGTAGAATATTCGTATTTTCCATTTTCGGCCCATGTTTATTATACTGCTGATATCAAAATTCCAGCTGACTTCCTCCGTTTGACAGTGCAAGTTTCGGTATCACATTGAAGTAATACCCTAAATGAGTGGCTGTGGTAATTGGTTTGCCTCCGAGATACTTCAAATAAGCGTAGGCAACTTTTTTCCCGAGATACCGTGTTAGTCACCTTAAGTGATTGTTCGGAGGTAATAAACTTCCTTATGCAAGATTAAGATGAATCGTCTTACAGACTGTGCTTATATTGGCAGAGTTTCGTAGACCTCAACCCATTCCTTTACCACTTTGAAAAGTATAACCACTAGCTCGTTTTTTGGTACTGTTTCGGAACAACTCTAAATTGCCGAAGGAAATTGACTAAAAAGGTAAAGCAGGGTATATTTACTTATTCGAGTAATCGTTATGTACACGAACAACCCTTATAAATCATTGGAAGGCAAATATTTTTGAAAAACTCTTGCCAATTTAAAGATATGTACCCATTGCTTGTTTTCTAAGGACTTTTTAGATTTACTTCAAAAACAGCTATCGCATTTTAAAAAAAAATGCATACCTGAGTGTGCTTTATTATGATAAAATGTCCTTTCTGCTTAGAATCTCTCGGAGGCTCTTTTGGAGGCAGGCTGTCATTTTTTAAAGGATCCACGCGAGTTGGGTGCTGACTCGATGTATGATCCTCTTGGTGGTTACTATCCACGTGTTTCCGTGTGGTTAGCGGTGGCTCGCTTCATAATCCTCCTTGTCTCGTCCTCGCCTAATGCCACACCAACCTCTAATAGCTATCTCAATTGGCGTCTTATCAGTGGTATTGTTAATCTCATTGATGTGGAATATAAGGGGTAGGCTGTAATCTCTCCTAATCAACCCTGGTCCTCCCATAGAAATCGGCTTCATAGAATTGGTTTTCTCTTAACTGCTTTACTAGATATCTTAAAAGCAGTTGTAAAGAACACTTGTATCACCTCAAGCGATCAGGTGAGCTCGCATTGCTGACTATGAGTTGTATAGTTGGAAGTCGCCTGGCACAATTCAACAGTTTATCAACTCGCGGAGGTAGCCTCAAAATTATCAGCTCTACCAGATGATGTGCATTTGGATCTCTCCCAGGATGTAAGCGTCAAATTGAATGATCTCCTTCTTTCTCTAGCTTATTGAAATTCTAGATCATCTCTTTCAAGTGCGTGGAGGAAATCGCTTCTCGAATGCAATCTGTCATCTTGACAACATCTTTGAGAATAATGCCCTCCTCACCCCTTATCAGCCGCACTTCAGTCGTTACTGCAAATGCAATAGACGGGATGTAGATGAGGTAATCGAGTACTATGTGTTTTAAGATTAATCTCTAATGCTGGTAATAAAAGGTGTGGATAGTAATTATTATGGGAGGGTTATGAACAGTCTATACCATCAGCGCAGTATCCGGAGTTGGGGACTAAAGGTGTACGGTCCGGATGTAGCTTAATTACAGTTGTAAAGATGGCTTAAGTGGCTATTGTCGTAAGTTACACGAGCATGATGCTCTACTAATACAGTGACAGGCAAATTAGCAGTGATGAGAATGCAAATATGTACTTTAAAACATTGGCGTGTTAAATAAAATTACCTTTATTACCAGGAAATTCACCGCTTTTTGGAGTGGACCGATTTCTTGCGCCATCCACGGTTGCTGAAATATCGCGCCGCAGGTCTTCGTCATTTGACAGCACTTCTGCGGCCCAGACATGAGTTCACCACGATACAACTCCATGAACGCCTAGTCACCGTCCCACACGAGCGCACCGAGGAGAAATTGCGTTTATTGGAGGCGTCCAGCATTCAAAATTGGGTTCCGTCCGCTGGGAGTAGTGGCTGTAGTGATGTGGTTAGCGAAAAGCAGCTACTCTTCCGCATGCTCATTGAACTATCAACAGGCAATCATCTGGTGGAAATCGACCCAGAAACACGTCTTGCGATGGCAGAATGTGTTGCTTCGTTGAAAGCTACTTTCATTGATGAGAAAAGTGCTCTTAAACCATCTGAGAGAGCGCGAGAGCTTCTTATTGAAAAGTCGCCTGATCCCATGGTTGTGGAGCAGCTGGACTGTGTGATTACCATTGCAAACGGGATCGCTTCTCCAAAGTAATTTGACCTTAAGATATCCCCAAACTTTTCCGCACCTTTTTGACCTGATAGCTACGATTTTAGCTCCATCTTTTCTCAAATTGG